GGGGGAAGGACAGACTATACTTACTCAGTCTTAGAACTGGAACCCTCAGAAATGGTGTTTTTAAAAATAAAGGCTCATTTGTGGAAAAAGGAAAATAAATATAGTGCATCTACAACACGATCCTCAAGTCAGCACTTTGGTACTGTGGCATCTTTCCTGCTTTCCAAATAATTTTTGTTCATCATTGAGAAGATACGATTTTGGAACCTCCTTTTTAAGTTATTTTAATATTCAGGATGGGATATGGCAAGACCAGGATTTCACATCCCAAGTGGGAGACGTTGGAGTTGAGAGGTCCCGAGAGGGTCCAAGCCCACAAATCTTTCTAGACCCTTTGGCAAAATATCAGTAATGCCTTTTCCCTGAAGAAAAAAATGTCTTGCTGATGGAGTTGGGGAACACCCAGCAGACATCCCGTGTGAATCGGGCAGACCCCATGCACCCCTATAACTTCACACCCTGGCTCTGTGGTTCACAGCAGAGTAGGGAGCCAGGAGTGGCAGAACCCCAAGAATTAGGAGGTGAGAACTTGTCCTGCTGTCCCATCTTTGTGCAAGATGGTTGCTGTAACCTGAATGTGTCTTCCTAAAATTCACGTGTTGATGATGGGAGGTGGGACCTTTGGGGGGTAATTAGGCAATGAGGTCACGAGAGTGGAGCCCTAGTGAATGGGATTATTCCCTTTATAAATGAAGCCTGTGGCCCAGAAGCAGGCCCTCATCCAATCATGCTGCCACCCTGGCCTCAGACTTCCAGCCTCCAGAACTGGGAGCAATAGAGCCAGCTGTCTATGGCATTTCATTACAGCAGCAGGCCAGCTACGGCCATCTCTCTGGGCTTCCGTTTTCTGTATGTATAAGGGTTGCACTAGATCACCCGGGAAACTTGGCAGAGGTGTGAAGGGTTCCTGGTTCATCTACTGGCAAGGTTGCTTTGGCTGATTTGATGTTGGGCTACAGCGTAAGAAGCATGGACAAGGGTCCTTCCGCCAAAGAAAGTTTCAAGATGTAAAGAGAAGTGCCCAGCCCAGGCAACAACAACTGCCTGGTGGTGTTCAGAGGAGGCAGGAGGCACATGGTGGCCATGGCAGTCAGGAGGACGCAGATGGAAGCTGAGATACCGGGAGGCCATTATCAGAAGTGTTTACTGTACCATCGTGGTCCTTGCCCTATCTAAACCTGCCTTGGCGCGCCACGGTATTCTGTGTCATTTCCCGCCAGTATCTACCACTGAGCAGGAACAGTGTGATGATGGTCGGTTCCTGGCATCCCTGAGCTGATTCGGGAGCAACAGTCCTCGTTTGCCCTGGCCCCCCTGGAATGAGAATCCAAGGCCCCTCTGGGGAGGGTGGGCGGGGGGCCCCCTGGCAGCTGGGGCTGAGACAAGGCAGCCGCTTTGTTCTGAATCCACAATGGCAGGATGCCCAGCACAGGGCCAGCTTCCTCCGAGGCAGGGCAAGGGGGTGGGAGCCGGGCCGAGGGCATGCCCTGAGGCCCTGGGTGAGCAGGGGAAACCTGCAGGACGGGAGCGCACAGCATGAGAAGCCTTGGGAGAGGAACTGGGAGGCACCTGGAGTGAGCCAGTCTGCTCACATGGCTCAAGGACCTAGTAGGTTTGTGAAATAAAATTCATCCTTATGGCAAGACAGGATCAAGCTAAACATGGTAAACTCTTCTCTGCCTTTCTGACCCCTCCCCCCGCACTGTGCATTCTGCATCTGCACGTACGCATCAACCGGAACACTCCATCGGCAGGAATACCTTCCCAACCACAAAGAGCAGCATTTCTCCCAGCATCAAGACAACTCCTCAAAAGATAACGCTCCTTCTTGAAACTTGTAAGGGGTCACATGATCCACCACAGCGACGCTTAGACCCAGACTACGTGAACTGTCAATAATACGTCATTTGATGTACAGCCCTCTGTCTCAAAAATACTTACATAACTGTTTCCTGACGTCTAACAGGCAGAACAATTCTCAGAGCTTTCTGAGATGCTCTTCCCAGGTTACAGTCTTCAAACTCAGTGCAAATAAAAATTTTCATTTCTTTCTTAGATCGACTGGTTCATTTTTCATCCAGCCTCAGGCACTATCGCTAAGCACTTGCCCCATATTAGCCGCTGCAGCCTCCCAGGGCCAGACGAGCTGGTGAGACTCTGCCCCCGCCCGCCCCTTAACACGAGGCACAGGAGGGGAAAACCCCTGCCCAGGATCACACAGCTCAGACATGCCAGGGCTGGGGTTCGAACCCAGGTCCGACCCCTGCTTTTGACTGGCGTGATCTCCCGCCCACTCCATCCACACCAGGTTATGCGCTGGTGTGGGGGAGACGGTGCTGAGCAGACAGCTCAGTGACAAACCAGTTCTGAGAGCGGGCCGTGCCGGCGGCCCTGCCTGGAGAGGTGCAGGGAGCTGGGGTGAGCTTCGACTGTGGCTGTGAACCCAGATGGGTGTGGGGTGGGGAAGGGTGGGGTAGGGAACCGCCCCCAAGGAAGGTGACATCTGTCATCCCGAGAAGGCCTCCCAGCCGGGACTCCCTCCCCAGAGGGAGGCTGGGGAGGCCAGGTGACTCCCCAGGAGGCAGCAGGACAAGTCGGAAGCAGAGCCCAGAGGGCTGTCCGTGGGAGTCACCACCTAGGCCCCTCACTGTGAGGTTCTCTGTGAAGCCAGGGGAAACCAGACAGGCCAGACGGTGAGAAAGGGGATCAGGACACCCCCAGGCTTCCTGACCCCCAGGCCAGTGTCCACTGCACCCACTGCAGCAGGGAGTGATTAGGAGGGGGGTACCTCCGACTCTGAGGGAAACACCTCAGTGCTGGGTGGTCCCCAGTTCAAGCACTGCTCCAACTCCCCCCTGCCCCCCCACCCCCACCAGGGACGGGCTTTGATCAGACAGGAGGCTCAGTCTGAAGCCAAGCATTCCCCGGGGCCCAGGGCGCTGCAGGAGGCGCCTTGAAAGGGGAAGGGTCCTGAGGACCAGGGGGGCACTGCCCGCCAGAAACCATCCGTCCTCTGTCCTGTCTGGCCGAGCCTCAGGGTGGAGCCTGGAGGTATCCAGGCTGCACCAGGACAGGGCTGGGCTGCTGGCTTCTCTGACTCACACGGAGGGTGGGTGTCCAGTGACTCAGCCTGGGCCCACTTCCCCTCTGCTAGACCCGCCTGCACAGAGGCCAGGGCAGGCAACCCCGCACCAGTCCTGCCTCTGCCTGGTACTCCCCAGGCCCTCGCTGCCCCCGCCCCATCCTGGGGCCGACCCTCCGTGTAGCGCTGACCACGAATTCCGGCTACATGAAGGAATGAATGAGTCTTTGAGTCCCGGTCTGGCCAAGCTCCCATCCTCCCATTCTGCAGATGGGCCTCAGAGAGAATGGGTGACTAGCTCACGATAGGGACCAAGCCCACTGGCCCCATCGTCCCCTCTCCACCCCTGGCCCTGCCCACCAGGTCCTCACTGGAAATCCTCTCCCCGGGGATCATCAGCCCATTTTGCAGATCTGGAAACTGAGGCTCAGAGAGGGGAGGTACCTGCCCCAGGCACAGTGAGGCGGGCAGAGTGGGATTAGGTCCCCAGTCTCTCTAACCCAGGCAGGGACCTTGCGGTTTTTAACAGGCGGCCTGCAGTACAGACAGGTGGGTGGCTGGAGTTAAATGCCTACAGCCAAGGGAAGGATGGCAAGTGAGGCGGCTGGGCCAGGCCAGCTCCCTGACGCTCCACCCCACCCGCCCCCCAGGGCTCCTCCTTCCATGGCACCACCCCATTCCTTGCTCTCTGTCCCTGGGCACAGCCCCTCACCCAGGCCTTTCCTTCCTCAGGCTTCTTTTCTGGTTTTTCTTTTAGAGGAGAGTTGTACAGTTTGGGTTTTCACCCCCAGGCAAGGGTTTAGCCATGAGAAGGGAGAAGCTGATGTAACAGGAGGACCACAGACTGGGGACCAGCATGTGCGGAGACTCCAGTAGGCGGCCGGCAGGTCACGGGGGACCTGATGGAAGCAGGTGTGGATTGAAGGAGGTGCTGATGCTGGGAAAGACTGAGGGCAGGAGGAGAAGGGGTCAACAGAGAACGAGATGGTTGGATGGCATCACCGACACAATTGGCATTAAGTTTGAGCCAGCTCTGGGAGAGAGTGGAGGACAGAGGAGCCTGGCTTGCTGCAGTTCATGGGGTTGCAAAGAGTCGGACATGACTTAGCAACTGAACAATGACAGTGAAGGAGGGGAGAGGCCATGGGGCTAGGCCTGACTTTGTCCCATGAGCAGCGTGGAGCCACAGAGACCATGTGTTTTAAGAGATTCCCCTCGAGGCTGTGGGAAGATGGTGTGAGGGGTCAGAGCAGCGGGCTGGGGGGCTGGCGGGGCTGGCCAGGCCCCAGTGACGGAGGGAGGAGGTCCTTGTTTCTGGGTGGGCGGCTGCTGTGCCTGTGTTTCCTTGGCCACTACCCCACGGAATGACACAGATGTACAAGCAAAAATAGTTTATTTGAGGACGGAAGACCCAACGTTGGGGGGCCCAGGGCTGAGGCCACAGCAGCTGCCTGGAGTTGGCACAGACGACCCTAGCTCCCTAGGGAAGCCCAGTAGCAAAAATGCCCTTCCCTGGGCCCCCTAGCTGCCTCCCCCACTTCCTGGAGGAAGGATTGTGCGACCGCCAAGAATCATCGCCATCATCACCACCATCACCGTCAGAACACTGGTGAGGTTTTCCGAGCTTAGCCAGCAATTTTCAGCGCAGTACTTGACCCTAATTGTCCTAAGTACTCTGACAACCACAGCGACTGTGCCTGGACCCACCATCCAGTGGTGAGTGGGGTCTGTGATGGGGAGAGGCAGGCGGGGAGAGGAGCCGGGGCTCTCTAGGAGACCCCACTGCAGCCTCCACAGCGACCCCACAGGAAGACCCGCCTCCCCCGACGGCCCCAGCCGCTGCCCGCTCTCCCATCGCCACGGGCCAAGGCTGGATTCGGGCCGGGGCGGTCTCAGGTGGTCCCTGTTCCCTCAGGTCTCAGAGACCCTTGCCAGGCTGTTCCCTCTGCCGGAAGCCCCGGCGGGTAGCCCAGGAGGCCACGAACTCGCAGTTGTGGTAAAGGAACATTCCAGAAAGCGTGAGCGCCACACCCAGGTAGCTGAGGGCGCTGAGGCGGCTGCCGAACAGCAGCCGGGACAGGACGAGGTTGCCCACGACGGTGAGGTTGCCCAGGACGTGGACCGTGAGGGCTGAGGTGAGGGCCAGCAGGGAGAAGCTGGCCAGGTTGTAGAGCACGGACAGGAGGCAGCTGAGCAGGACGCAGGCCCAGAGGCGGGAGTCGGCAGGGGCGGGTGGCGGCGCCACGCCGGCCTCCAGCACCAGGGCGGCGCCAGCCAGCAGGCAGAAGCTGGGCAGCGAGGTGGCGTAGAGCAGGGTCACCGCGTCCAGCCGCTCTTCCTGCAGCAGGGCACCTGCAACCAGGGCAACAGCCGTCAGCACCCGGCGCCAGACGACCCCCCCCGCAAGGCCAGCCTGCCACGACCTCCAGGAAGCCTGCCCCAGCCCCGCCGGCAGAACCAGGGGCTCCTGCTCTGTAACGGGAAGCTCAGGCCGCCTGGGTGGTGACCTGGTCCGCTCCTGGCCAGCTGTGACCTGGCCCTTAACCTCTGGAGGCCTAGGTTTCCTCACCTGCAGAGTCAGAGGATAATAAAACCTTGTGCATGCTATGTCGCTTCAGTCGTGTCCGACTCTTTGCGACCCCGTGGACTGTAGCCCACCAGGCTCTTCTGTCCCTGGGATTCTCCAGGCAAGAAGACTGGAGTGGGTCGCCATGCCCTTCTCCAGGGGATCTTCCCAACCCAGGGATCGAACCCAAGTCTCCCGTGTCCCCTGCATTGGCAGTCGGGTTCTTTACCGCTAGCACAATCCTAGAAAGCCCCCACAAAACCTTAAATATGAAGATTAAAATAATGTACATAAAGCCCTTATCAGGTAAGCTGCAGTCAATAAATGTAAAAAGACGAGAGAAATAAACCCGTTATCACTGACTCCTCCCACAAGCTGAAACAATAATCTGTGATATCAATAAACGTGAAAAAAAAAATCTTCAGGGGCTCCCCAGGCCCTGGAGAAAAACATCCTGGATTCATAACCAGCTTTGAAGGTGTTGAGCCAAGGGGCCCCAAGTCTGCTTTCTTGGCTTCGGCCGTTCTGGCACCCCCAGCCCCATAGTGTGGCTCCCACCTTGCTCCCACCAGCACTCCCGGCTCTACCATGTACTAGCTATGTGGGCCTTTACGTTACAAGAGAAAGAGTTTGAAAATATTCAGAACCGTCTGAGTCATGTGTTCAATCACTTGTGACCTCCGGGATGACAGACACAACAACGAATTCATTGTTGTGCCCAGCTGTCACTCACTGTGTGTGTGTTTTGTGAAGATTTTTTTTTTAATGTGGACCATTTTTAAAGTCCTTATTGAATTTGTTACAATATTGCTTCTGTTTTATGTTTTGATTTCTTGGCCAAGAGGCACGTGGGATCTTAGTTCCCCGACAAGGGATTGAACCTGCACTCCCTGCCTTGGAAGGTGAAGTCTTAACCAGTGGACCAGCAGGGAAAGTCCCTGTCATTCATGGTTTATCACAGATAGTGAGCACCTTGCACTACGGACACTGGAGCTTGTCAAGACAGATCGAGGGCACAGAGGAAACCCTGGGCTTTGTATGGAAAGAGGGCATCCTAGCATCTTGCACGTGTGTGCCTGTGTGTGCACAGGCTACCACCCAGCTGGTTCACAAGGAAGCAGGGCCCATCATAAAATCTCACATGGCTGAGCTGAAATGACAGTACTTGCAAAGAGGCAACGGTGGTTTTGTGCCTTCTCCAAGTTTTCGGAGAGAGAGATGAGTAAGGTCTCCCCACCCCCTCCCAGGGCTCTCTCAGCCTCTATGTGTTTTCTGACACACACTTTCCAGAGAACCACAGAGGCGCTTACTCATAGGCTATACTTAGAATAGGAAATCTTATTTCTCTCTCGATTTCATTTTGATGTTTTGGCTTTGTTCTCTAGGCAACAGTCCTTCTGTCAAGCATTTCTAGAAATGAACAGATAACTGGAATGCCTCCTGTTTGGCTGCTCCAAATTTAGCACCATTACGAGCTGCCTGTGGCCTACGTGTTCAAGGTGCAATCACTGGAAGGTGGTTAGGATTGCAGGTGAACTTCACCTTTGGCGAATTTCACTCTCTGAGAGGCAGGCAGGCAGGTTCTAACTTCCCCGCTCGGCCCCGTGCACCTGTTCTGTAATCCGTCCAGCCCTCCACCTCCCCGTCCCCAACACTGTCCCCTCCAGCCCAGGAAAAGAGCCAGTTACCCACCAGCCTGTCATCCGGCCTCCTCAGCGACCCCTCCCCTGCCTGCTTACCCCAAACCCTGCATTTCAGCCTCTCCTCCTCCAAAGGCATTTCCGTTTCATCATCTGAACACGCCACACTTCAGCCACATGCAGACTAACGCCCTCTGGACACCGTTCTGCTGGCTTCAGGCTTATCCCACCTCTGCTCCATCACGAGCTGTGATATCACACAGGTCATCCTCTCTCTACGCCTGTCCCCTCGCGGGAGCATGGGCAAAGTGACAACATGCCCTCACCGGGGCATGTGAGGTGCTGAGCACAGGACCTGTGCCCAGGGGCAACCGCTGCCCATGGCGGCTGTCATGACCCCCTACGTGCAACCCTGCTGGCTGACACCTGCACCCTGGCAGGGCTTGCGTCCCGCTCCCAGAATGCCCTTTCCTGCTCTGGCCGTGTGAAGAACTGGGCACAGCATGGGCCTATACTCAGGGCTCGGCTGTCACCATCACTGCCTGCCTCCTCCCCCAGGCAGTCTTCTCTGGTCTCCCCGAGAAGTAGCCATCCCAATCACAGCTGTGCCCACCTTGGCTCTAGCACTTTCTTCCCTGCTTTGTGATCGCTCCTTCTGAGGGTGTCTCCCCACCAGCCTGAGAGCTCAGCGGATGGGAATGGGGTCAACCTGATGCAGGTGGGTACAGCTGAGGACAAGTCTCAGCACGCTGGCACCCCATCTCCCAGCCTTTCTGTGAGTGGAGAGGTAGATCACTCCTCTCCATGTGTGGTCCCCCCAGGCCTGCAACTGGCCCAGGAAGGAGGGAAGCTGCTGGGCACTCCTCTTCCTGGACTGTCACCCTCTGCTCCCTTGGAGTCTGCCATCAGGAAAGGAGCTGGTGTCAGTCACTCACATTCTAGTCTAAATTTGGCCCTGGTGACTTTCCTGGAAAGTCTGAGAGTAGTAAGCTTCTCTTGTCCAAAACCCACCTCATCCCTTGACTCCAGTCTGTTCTGACCCACATCTGCGCTGGGCTCCCATCTCTGTTGATGGGGCCTCCAGCCTCCTAAGCTCTCCCCTGAGCATCCTGAGTCAAGTAGCTTAAGTAGCCTACCAATTCTTCATCAGACCATTAATAAATTCACCATTTACGTGGTACCTTACCTCCAGGCCCCAAGTCAAGTGCTGGGGACGTGGAGCTGCCCCAAAGCTAGGCCATGCCCCCTCGGAGCTCCTGCCTGGTGGGAGGCAGACAGGTAACCAAGTGGCTATAATATCAATACAAGGCACTTGGAGACCTGATGGGGGATGCAGAGGGCCCTGTGGGAGCCCGGAGCAAGCATCCAACCTGCCTCAGGGGCAGGCAGGCGACAAGGAGGGAGCTGGCAGAGCCGAGGGGCAGCCTGGTGCCAGGCACCTGCCAGCCCCTGTCCATGTGCCCAAGGCCTGGACGGCTACAGCCTGTCCTGCTGACCGGGGCTCCTCCGGGGTGAGGAGGCTGGGCCTCAGCGGGTGTGGTGTGGGCCTTAGGTTGAGGCCTTCCCAGCCTTCTGGCCCTGCTCAGGGTGGGGCACAAGGTCAAGTTTCCCACTGACTCATGCCCAGAGCTCAGGCCCCAGCTCTCAAGTAACCTGAAGGCAAAAATAGAACTGGGCTCTGGCCCTGCCTCAGGGCCCTGGAAGATGGGGACAGGGCCTCTGGGTCCTGATTCCAGGGCAAGCCTGAGCTCTGACTTCAACCTTTCCTAGCTGCAGGCTGCCCTAACCCCAGCCCAATGACCTTGGAGCAACCCTTTCCCTCTTCCAGGCCTGGGTCATAGGATCTCAGAGCAGAAAGGGCGGGAGAGCAAGAAAGCCCTCTGACTCTATCAACTCTGACCTCTTCCACCAAAGAGATACGGAGACTGAGGCCCAGACAAGATCCAGATCCGCCCCAGGTGACCCAGGAAGTATGAGCCCACACGTGGCTGGAACGCAGGCCTCCCTACCCTGAGTGGGCGCAGAGACAGGGTGGGGGCTGTGACTCAAAGAACCCTCAGTAGGACAGGCAGGAAAGTGATCTCCACCCTCCAGCAGAGTGATTTCGCAGGGTCTGGGTTTGGAGTCTCCACCCTACCCTCTGCCCAGAGGCCCCCAACCCTCTTCCATCAGAGCTGAGGTCCAGAGTCACATGGACCAGGATTCCAGTCCTTTGGAGCTGTGTGACTCTGGACAAATCATGAATTTCTCTGGGTCTCAGTTCCATCATCTGTAAAATGGGGATGAAAGTAGTGGTTGCCATGACAACTCAAAGTCAACACCTAGCATAGGGCCTGTTACACTGCAGCTCCCAGAAGACACCACCCCTTCCCAGATTTAGCAAGCCCCACTTCCAAATCCTGGTTTACCATCTTGCCCTCTTTCTCTCCCACCAGTTCCCACTGTCAAGCCTCCCTCTGTGTCCACAGTCTTATGCCACATCTCTAGGACAGCATGGACTGTGCCTGAGTGAAGTGAAAGTCGCTCAGTTGAGCCTGACTCTTTGGAACCTCCATGCACTGTAGCCCGCCAGGCTCTTCCGTACATGGGATTCTCCAAGCAAGAATACTGGAGTGGGTTGCCATGCCCTTCTCCAGGGGATCTTCCCCACCCAGGGATCGGACATGGGTCTCTTGCATTGGAGGCAGATTCTTTACAGTCTGACTGGGTTCAAATCTTGCCTCCGTGGCTTACTTGGCCCAGGGCAAGCACATCTCCGTGTCAAATGGAGACAAAGCCAGTTGGGCCTCTAGAGCCCAAGTTTGGGGCCTGGAAATCACTGAGCAGTTGGCCCTTTCTGAGCCTCAGTTCCTGACTCTTCCAAAGCCACGTGCCTCAGTTTGGTCATCAGTAAAATGGGATAGCAGTCATACCCCCTCACAGGGTGCCCCAGGCCACATTCCCACACTCCCACCCGGGTCCCCACCGCCTCAACCAGTGACTTAGGTTACTCACTCTGCTGAATGGACTTGAGGCCACGGAGGCAGGTGGCCGCCAGCAGGAAACCGCAGCCAGCCGGGGGCGTCCGGAGCTCTCCGGCCAGGCTGCAGGCGGCCCCCAGGCAGAGCGGGCCCATGGCCGCAAACTGCAGCGGGTGGTGGCGCCGGCCGAGCAGCAGCGCGGACAGGGCCAGCGTGATGAGCGGCGTGGTGGTTGTGGCCAGCTGTGCCAGGTCCAGGGGCACGGCGCTCAGGCCCACGTTGCCGCAAGCCATTGAGACGCCGAAGGTGAGGCTGAGCAGCAGCACCTGGCGGCGGGTCGGCCCGGGCAAGGGGCGCCGCGCCCCCCGGTGGCAGGCCAGTGCGGCCGCCAGCATGTGCAGCGCCGACAGCAGCAGGGGCCGCCCGAAGCCGTGCACCGTGAAAATCCACTTGTTGAGGCTCGACATACTGGCTCCCGCCAGCAGCCACACCAACGCAGCCACGGCCACCCGGGCCCGGCCAGGCCGCCGAAGGGCCTGCGGGGTGTCAGGGGGCCACTCGGCGGACCCGGCCCACCGAGCGCCGCCAGCCACCGCCACTTCCTCGGCAGAGGTCATCCTGCCGTCATGGTGCTCCGGCGGGCAGCGGCACATGGGTACCAGTGGGGCCGCGGCAGGAGGCCGGCTCCCCGGTGACCAGCTCTGGGCCACCAGAGAGCCCCACCTTGGACCCGCCCCGTCTCAGGCAGGTGCGGGCACAGACTCTGGCGCCCAGCCTGCGGTAGCGGAGGTCCAGGAGCTATGCGGTGTCCTCGGCTCAGGGAGGCCAGACCCCAGGTCGCTTCAGCTGGGATGCCAGGCTCTCTGGTGCTCGAGCCTGGCCTAGTAAGCGCTGGGCACCTCTGCCCGTGCCAGGCGAAGTCTCCACTCTCCTCCCGCCCGAGTGCCCACGCTACGCTTAGACGGAATCCTCCATCCCGTTTCTCTTCGGTCCAGTCCCTGGGTCCTCCGGCTTGTTCACGCCAGGCCTGGTGGGGGGCGATCCGGGCTCCCGCGCCGGGTTGGTGCCGGTGGGTCGGGCTCGCTGTGTCCGACACTGCCCAGGCCCAGCAGCGGGAAGACGCGCCGGCCCCGCGCTCCGGCCGGTGTCAGGCGGCGAGTTCGGCTCAGCTCGGCTCCGGCAGGGCCTCCGCTCTGGCTCCGGCTCCCGGCGGCTCCGGCAGCGGCGGCGGCTCCCGCCAGGCTCGGGCGGAGAGCGAGGCTCCGCACTCTAGGCCCCGCCTCCGCGGCCGCACCACGCGCCCCACCCGGAAAACTGGGCCGAGCCCGGGGCCGCCACCTCGGGTCAGGCCCCGCCCCCGGAGCCGGGAGGCCCGTCTCGCCCCGCCCCCACGCCGCCAGCTCGGGGCTCCTCCTCTGTCCGCAGACCACCCCCCCCGCCCACCCCCAGCCGGAGTGTTCAGCCTGTCCGTCCTCTTCCCCGCACCAGTGGGGGATCAGGCCCCGCCCCACCCAGCGCCAAGGCAAGCCCCCCATAGAGACGAACACAGAACGGGAAGACCCTGGGGTATCTTTCTGATGAAAAACTCCTAACCTCTCAGGAGATTCCATCTTCAAGGACACCCCCAGCCCCAGGAGATTTCAGCCTAGGACCAGTCTCGGGACCACCTAATCTCTGGCCACAGTTATCCCGTGGGACCTCAGCATCCAGAAGAATTGGCCCACCGGGCCCTTAATGCCCCTCCCTCGCCCCTCCCTAACCCCACCCCCCCCTCCGTCTCCCAGCCCCCTGGAGGGCGGGCCCCCCTCCAGACAGGCAGAGGGAAGCTGAATCACCGCGGCCACCCGCAGCTGCGGAAGCAGGGTCCCACCGGCCGCTCTATCCCTGGCCAGCAGCCCCTGACCCATCCCCTGGGTACTCAGAGCTGACTCATAGCTGAAATTTCCTGGGGTCCACCCTCTGCCCCTGCTGGCAGGACAGAGAGCTCTAGGTGGGCCGGGAGCCAGAGCAGCTGCCACTAAGCTTTTGCCCCTGCCTGGGTCTTGGCTTTCCCATCGGAACAGACGGGCTGCTCTCTGAGCTCAGGGCTGGGTAAACAGCAAGCCCCAGAAGCAGGACAGACTGACCGGAATTCCAAGCTGGGAACTCCTGTCTGAGCTCTGGGGTCCAAGTGTGCAAGGATCACAGGTGCCCACGGCCCTCTGTGAGTGAGCCCCTTTGCTGACAGCTTCCTCCTCTGTGGAGGCTCCTGTCCCCTGGGGCACGGTTCACCCCCCACAGCCTTTTTGTCTGACCGGCAAGCCCTTGATGACAGCCACCTGTCTGGAGGAACGAGACCGCAAAGGGGGAGCGCTTAGCTCGGTCCATGGAGCCCTCTGGTGGTCAGAGTGCAGAATGGCTGCAGGTGTCCCCTAATCCCCATCGCGAGCCTTGGGCTGGAATGAAAACCCCCCAGCCTGGCTGTTGATTCATACCAGCTGAATCAGATACCCTCTGGTGTGTCCAGGAATGTGTTTTTTTCATTTGCCTTTGGTAATTCTGAGACCCGCAAGAGCCTGCAAATAGTCCAAATTGTAGGGCAGGAGATTTCAAGATAAAGGACCAAAATATGCAGGAATTAATATTTAGACAGGGTTTCTCCAGGAGGGGTTATGGGAGGGAAACTGAGCCAGCCAAGAGGCAGCTCCCTTCCCCCGACATTTTCTGAAGAGGAGGAATCAGGGCCCCTATGAGTTAGATTATTTTTGAGATTTTTGTCAGTTTTCCATTAAGCTTCCTTTAATTTAAAAACAAACAAAACAGCAATGAATTAAATGCAGGAGACACGGTTTTGGTCCCTGGGTCGGGAAGATCCCCTGGAGAAGGACATGACTGAGCAACTTTCACTTTGAAGTGAAGTGAAGTCGCTCAGTCGTGTCTGATTCTTTGCGACCCCGTGGACTCTAACCTACCAGGCTCCTCCATCTGTGGGATTCTCCAGGCAAGAATACTGGAGTGGGTTGCCATTTCCTTCTCCACGGGATCTTCCCGACCCAGGGGTCGAACCGAGGTCTCGCACATTGGGGCAGATGCTTTACCCTCTGAGCCACCAGGGAAGCTTTCACTTTAGTACTTTTTAATTCGTTCCATCCATTCATCCAATTGCTCAGTTGTGTCCGACTCTTTGCGACCCCATGGACTGTAGCCCACCAGGCTCCTCTGTCCATGGGGATTCTCCAGGAAAGAATACTGGAGTGGGCAGCCTATTCCTTCTCCAGCAGATCTTCCTGACCCAGGAATCAAACTGGGGTCTCCCGAATTGCCGGCAGATTCTTTACCAACTGAGCTATCAGAGAAGCCCTCGAAAATACTAACCCCCACCCCCCATCTTCTCAGAGCTGAGGCAGTGGGGAGTGGTAGGCAGTGTCAACACTCTCCAAGACTTCCACAAAGCCTTTGACCTGCCCCACCTGGTGAGAGGTGAGCTATGAGGAAAGAGGATTGGCCAAGACGAGGCCTGGGTAGGCCTTGGTGGGAGGGAGAGAGCGGTACACCCCGGGGTGGGAGTGGGGGCAAGGGGGAGAGGTTTGTGCTGCTGCGGTCGTGGGGGTGGGTTCAGACCAGGTCTGTCCAGCTCCTGAGCCCTAGTTTTCAACCTGCCTTGACCTGCAGGCAGCAAGGCTCTCTGCAGGATATTCCCCTCGTGGAAGAATAAGGGGGTGTGCCTAGCTTCACAGAGCGCAGCAGGGGCTCCTTCACACTCCTTGGCCCCCCCAAAACCTAGACCAGCCTTGAGGAGCCTGCCCCGCCCACAGGCTCCCAGATCCCTCAGGTCTGAGTACTGGCCTCAGGGCGCCCACCCCCTAGCCCCCCACCCCCTAGCCCCCCACCCCAGCTGCTGCAGGAAGCAGGTGATTCGGCGAGGGACCCTGGGGGCACAGGAGGGAAGGAGCACCCATTTCTAGCAACTGGGCCGCAGAGGCTGCGGGACAGGTCTCTGCACGTCCCCAGCCCAGCCATTCACTGCGGGGCCTCAGCCTTCCTGTCTGTGATCTGCCGTGGGCTCACAGGCTTCACCCGCGGCGTCTGCCCACAGCTGTGGTCTAGGGAACAGGTGGTGCGAGGGGACACGGCTTGTCTGCAGTCTCTAAACGTGGGGCAGACGCAAACCTGGGCCCCATTCCCAGGGAGGGCACCTGCTTACCACAGTTCTTTTCCTTTTTTTCACTTTTTGGCCTCGACCAGGGCTCGAACCCACGCCCCACGCAGTGCAAGTGCAGAGTCTGAACCACTGGACAGCCAGGGAAGTCCCCATCGGATCCTTACTGTGGACGTGACTGTCCTCACCCACCCCCTCTCAGGGTCCCTGCGGATGGAGCCAGGCTGGACACCTGACCCAGTGCCCAGGGGTCGGCTGTGCCTGTCGGACCCTTCCCCAAGCTTTGGGACACAGGCTGAGAAAATAAAAGGGGGCTGGCAAACCAACCGCGCTCAGAGGAAGCTGACCGAGGGGGCGGCCAAGGAGATGGCCTGAGTGGGTGCGGGGCAAGGACCCACCCACTTCCCAATGGCCACCGCCCCGCCCCCACCTCTGAGGCCCTCCCTTGGTGGGCTGAGCAGGATTCAGTAGCTTCCTGCTTCTTAGAGCCAAACACAGCCCACCAAGACAGTCCCTCGGGAGGGAGGACCACACCCAGACTGTGGACCACCGAGGGTCCTTTACATCAACCCCCCAGCCCATAGCCTGGCCTGGGGCCCGCCCCAGCCGGCACCCCGCCATGGGAGGGGCCTGGCTTCCTGGGGTTGGGGGGGCAGCAAGGCAGTGCAGGGGCAAGGGCTGGGGTCGGTGGGTGAGGGTCTTGGCACTGACACCCCTGTGTGACCTGAAGCAAGCCGCACGCGTCTCTGAGCCTTCATCTTTCTGGGAAGGGGTCACAGGGCTGGTCCTGAATCCGACTCTGGAGCACCCTTGGCCTAGATCAAGGCGGGACAGGGGAGCCAGCACTCTGCGGGGCTGGGGGTGGACATTTCATCTTAAACACGGAGGTCCTGTTTTCATTTGGCTTTCAGATCCTTTGATGTTTGCTTTTTTCTGATATGGACTACTTTAAAGTCTTCATTGCATCTGTTAAAATGTTGCTTCTTTTTTATGATTTGGTTTTTTGACTACAAGGCACGTGGGATCAAACCTGCACCCCCTGCACTGGAAGGCGAAGTCCTAACCGTTGGACCACTAAGGAAGTCCCTTCAAAGCATTTCTTAAGTTGCCTGCTTCCCTCACCTGCCCAGACCCTAAATACTGGAGGAAGAAGCACTTGTTTAATCTATGGTGTTGCCGACTCCATGAGAGTCACAGTAAAACCTGACGTGCTGTCAGAGGGCCCCTCCCAGGGCAGCCCTCTTCCTAACCTTGGTGAGAGGGGGCTGACGGGGTGCCTCCCTGGCCTGAAGCCCACTTTCCAGAGGGGAACCTAGAACCCAGCCCTTCCCGCTGACAGGCGGGGTCGCCACCCCACTGGCAGCTGAGGCCCTGACAGTCCTCTGAGGAAGAGCTCGGGGGTCCCCGGCCTCCGGTTGAATTTGGACTCTGCCGTGTAATTCCTGCCACTGCCAACTAAAAAGCGCCACTTGCCTTCTGCCTCTTCAGGGGTTAAGTCACTAGCCACTGCAGGCGCTGACCTCCAACACACCATGGAAGGACTTCAAGGTGGAGATCGAGAATGCGGTTCTCTGTGCTCTGGGAAAAACTGGAAGAACAGGCCACCAGGTAGATATTTTCAGGAGATTTTACGAGCCTCATTCTTGCATCTTCTCGTATCTAGAGAAGCACTAAGATCATTAATGGAGCCATCTGCTCCTCGTGGCTAGCAGTAACCTTCACAAGATGAGCAGGAAGCTTCTCCCAAAGTGTGTTCTTAACTGCACATACCTCCTTCACTAAAATCATATATATATAGGGGCGGTTTTTCAGAGCTATCTAAAATTCTGCCTCCCAGGCCATAGTCTTCATTTTGCCCTAAATAAAATTTAACTCCCTACCCTCATGTTACACTTTTTTTTTTTAAGTCAACACAATCTTTGAGGACCCTGGTTTTGGTGTTTGTGTGGAAGAGCCTGGAGGCCTCCCCAGGTCTGTCTGTCTCCTAAATGGACACCCCACACCCCAGCCCCGGGCCACTTTGGGCAAGTCACTCTCCCTCTCTGAGCACCAATTTCCTCATCTGAAAGCAGAGAGGAAAAGAGAAACATCCAACCTCAGAGTTGTGCAAGAAAGCATCTAGCAAGTACACACCCCTAAACAGTCATTGGCGTCACCACCGCCAGCCTCGGTCCCCCAGGACCCAGAAGGACGCTCACTCACCCTCCTCTGCTCCTGGCACCGGCACTGATTCTGAGCTCAAGGCATCAGGACGCTGGGCCACGTGCACAATCAGCTCTTTAATCATTTTGGAGGTGGGCTGAGAGCTCTGCAGAGACCCTCGCCAGCCGCTACAAGGCAGCCGGCTCTAGGGCGCAGCCTCAGTGACAGAGTGAAGAGCTGGGGTCAGGGCTGCAAGGCTGTCCTCGAGGCACCCCCAGTTCCAGAGCGAGCGGTACTCACCAGGCCAACGGCCAGGGAGGAGTCCAAGACGTTTACGCCCTCCAGCCTGTGAGTAACCTTCACGGGACCCCCGCGGGGCCAGGTGGGACCAGACCCAGGCAGACAGACCTCCTGGGGGAGGTGCTGAGCTCCCTGTTCCAGGTGGGCAGTGGTTTAGGACCCCCGCGGGGCTGGTGGCTGTGGGATCCAGGGACAAATGTGCAAGAGAAGGCAGCAGGAGCAGGCGTGTGCCCATTACCACGGTGTCTGGAGGGAGGGCAGAAGACCAGGAAGGGTGGGAGGCAGTGGGGTGGGTGAGCCGGGGGGCTACCAGCCAACCAGCCTCAGCTCGATGGTCTCTCCATCCTTGGGTCTATAGTCAGCAATACCTGCAGAAATAGGTTGGGGGAGGTGGGGTTAATAGGGCAGAATGTACCCCATCCCAACCTCACCTTCTAGACCCCTGCCCTGTAAAATGGGCTCAGGGCTCAGTGGTGGGAAACCCAGGTTCTGAGCAGAGCCAGTCCGGAGACTCCAAACTCAGTGTGACCTCAGGGTCGCTGAGACCCACAGGCTCACTTTGCAATGGGGAGCCCCCCAGGGGGGTGAGGGCATGGGATGGCACCCTAATAACCACCATGGGCCCAAAGGAACCAGAGACCCTGACAGTGATGGGCAGGGTCAGTGTCTTCACGGTCCCCCCGAGGGGCCATCTTGGAGAGAAGAGGCACCTGCTTGGGGAGGTCTGGGGAGAAGCAGGACCACGAGTGAAGTCAGCCTTCACTCACGAGGCACATCCAGGCTCCAGCACGACTCCCGGATTCAAGCCCCAGCTCTGCACTCACAGTGTTGTGATTCTGGGCAGGTTATGTAACCTCTCAGAGCACTGGTGCTCCCATTTCTAAAACGAGGGTAGTAATGATATCAACAACCCAGCCCTCCTTTTTTCCCCAGGGGAGTGGGCTTCTTGCTGGACTGGGGGACACCACCACCCACGTCTGCCTCGTGGCTGAGTCCATCAGGCTCTCACCGTCGACTACCTCCTCCGTCCAGCCTTTATCAGTAATAGAGGCCAAATCTGGTCTCTCCATCTGTAGCCTCTTGGTTTTATTTCTCAATTTGTCCAGAAGCCAGGCAGGGAGAAAGATGGTTTTTTACTGGGCTCCCTCAGGAAGTCCCACCTTCTGTAAAGCACTTGGTCCAATCCCCTGGCACATGGCAAGTGCCCATTAGAAGTCCCAGATAGCAGGAGCGGGGACAGATGATCCTTAACAGTTTGTCCAATGACGGGGCTGATGCTCAGGGATACTATGACAGCGTGGGGCATAAGAGTTAAAACTGGAGACCTGCTAAAGGCCCAGTGGGAGTTGATAAGGTGCGGTCCACCCATCCCACTCCAAACTGGGGCTGGGCCCTGACTGGCCGAAGCCAGGCTTGCGATGGTCCCTTCTCTCTAGCCAGTGATGGGCGCAGAGGGGCATCTCCTAGCAACAGGGATGGGTCCAGGAACGCGCCTGTATCCCAAGTTCGCCTTCAAGATGCCAGGAGACGTGTGCTGGGCAATTCACAGACCAGTTTCCTGACTCATTAAAGGGAGCAGCCCCGGAAGACACAGAGCAGCTTCTCTGGAGGAGGAAGCCAGCAGAGAGGAGGAGGGTCATGGGGAGGTGGGGCTGGGGCTGAAATCCTTACTCCCACTGCAATCTGGTCACAGGAGCCAAGGGATGAGCCAGTGAAAGTTGCATCGTGGAAGCTAGTTTGTGTTACATTACTGTTACTTACAGCCCAAACCACCCTGCTGGATGATATATTCTATGTGGCTATTACAAAGAAAGGCGAAGATCTACATATACCCATGTAGAAAGATGGCTACCACATGTTAAGGATGAAAAAGATAAACTTCAGAACCGTATACAGAGTTGTGCCATCAAATATGCCAGCCATTAGCCACATGTGTCTGTTGAACACTTGAAAGGTACCCAAAAAAGATGCAAAATATGTCATCAATAATTTTGCATTGATTACATCTTGGAATGATATTTTGGATGTACTGGATTAAATGTTAGTTTAATCAACTGCAGAATTTAGGATTACACGTGACGAGGCTCACATTTTATTTCTATGGGACAGCACTGCTATAGAGTATGGCTTCATTTTTACGAAAAAACAAATGTACATATTTTTTAAATTACCTGAAAGAAAATACACCAGAAGTTGAGAAAAAAAGTTAATCTCTGGGTAGTGGATTGTGGGCAATTTTAAGTTTCTTCTTTTTTGCCTGTCTGCTTTCCCAGAATTGCCACAGTGACATACACAAAAATTCTTAAGAATATAGTTAAATGTATTATATGCAAACTTGAGCGACAGCAGTGACCTGAGGCTGAGCCCCAGGAAGGTTCTGGGGGAAAGCTGGGGTGAGCTGACGAAGCCTGGGTTCTGGGACAGGGCTGGGCTGGGGGACACGTCTGCAGGGGGCTGGCCACCAGACTCACCTTGCTGCAAGGGGGTGTCAGGAGCTTGCAGAACCTGCCAGAACTCACGTTCCCCAGCCTTTTTCCCCAGCACGGAGGTCAGGAAGGGGCCTGACAGGGAGGCCTGTGTTCTATACCTACCAAAGGGACAGATGAAGAGGAAGAAAAGGTGACTTTTGCTCCCATGGACCCAAGGGCAGAAGTAGAACCACTCACACAAAGCAGACCCTGCCCTCACTTTCGGGGCGTTGCTAGCCAAGCCCTTCCCGGGCAGCCTCACCAGGGGTCCTTCCTCCACGCCGCCTCTCCAGCCCCCCAGATGCCTCCCACTCTGGGGGCTGACCTTGCAGCGGGGTGGGAATCAGAAGCTGCCAAGGCCCAGAGTGAGGCCGGCGGGAGGAAGAAGGAGAACAGGTGAGACAGAGGCAGGGGCACCTGGTGGCGTTTTCTGTGGCTCAGTTGTTAGGTCGCTAAGTCGTCTCCGGCTCTTTTGGGATTCCACGGACTGTAACTCAAAAGGCTCCTCTGTCCATGGCATTTCCCAGGCAAGAATACCAGAATGGGTTGCCATTTCCTCCTCCAGGGGATCTTCCCCGACCCAGAGATCAAACCCGAGTCTCCTGCACTGGCAGGCGGGTTCTTTACCACTGAGCCACCAGCGAAGCCCCTCTGCGGTTCAGGGCACCCCCACTCTCTCGGCTGGGCTGCTCAGTCTTTGCTCTGAGTCTGCACATCCCACGCTGCCTGCTACCAGAGAGGCTTGGATTAGATTCCTGGCCTTTGCAACCAAGACTCTCCACACCACCTGTCTCTGAGCACTGGACACGGCTGCCGAAATGACTCTTAAAATGCCGTGGCCGTCCTCTCTCCTTATCAGTGGCACTGGTCTTGGAGAGGGAGGGTTTTCATAGTTTTAAGAAACAGAGATGCCCTCAGGGCAACCTGGTCATAGGGAAGGTTTGAGGGAGCAGCCTGTCCCCAGTTCTCGGGGGCCACATGGCTGCCCGGAGCATTGTGGGCCTGTCTCTCTCCATTGCTCTCTCCCCTCTTTCTGTCTCTTTTTCGCCGTCTGTCTCTCTTCCTCTCTCCCCTTCCAGAGTCCAGCTTTCTCCACCGTGCACTCACGTGCCTCAAACATGCCTCCCTTCTGGCCCCTGACCCCAGCTCAGGCAACTTGTCCACCACCAAGAGAATCATTTCTCAGATTGGTATCCCTGACATTTTCTCAGAGGTCCTGGAGTTCTGAATAAAACTGACCAAGTTGGGATTTCCCTGGTGGTCTGTGGTTGAGACTCTGCGCTTACACTGCAAGGGAGTGTGGGTTCAACTCTGCTACAGAAACTAAGATCCCACATGCCGTGGTGTGGCCAAAAAAAAAATTTCAATTTTTTTTTCCATTTTGATGACAATGTCCAAACACAACCTTGGTAATCCCAAGTGGCTCAGTGATAAGGAATCTGCCTGCCAATTGCAGGAGATGTAAGAGATGCAGGTTTGATCTCTGCATTAGGAAGATCCCCTGGAGAAGGAAATGGCAACCCACTCCAATATTCTTCCCTGAGAAATCCCACGGACAAGGGAGCCTGGCGGACTACCGTCCATGGGGTTGCAAAAGAGTCGGACACAGCTGAGCAACTGAGTATGCACGTCTGCTAGGTGATTCCAGTGCCTGCCAAGGGCACCCGGTGTGTGGGGGCCCAGCGGTGCTGCCATCAGCACACTGCAGGCCGTGGGGTCCACTGAGAGGCGCTTGTCCTCTGGGCGGGATCCCCGCCGGGGACCCCTCCCAGCTTATTCAGGTGCGGACATGGCGGGGCCCAGAGCAGTGCTCTGGAAATGCCCATCCTCAGATCCGTCCCATCTCAGGGTGAGAAGAAAGCGGAAGGCCATTGTCCCACCGCGCTCTGCAGAAGGCTTGACCAGGGGAATCCTTCATCAAAAGGATCGGGCCAGGATCGTTAGAGACTAGAAATTCTCATCCTTCTGAAAGCTAACCTGTATTGAGCGCTTACTAAGTGCGTGACCCTGTGCACAAAAAGCACGTATTAATACCACGTCCTGTCTGTGCCCTCACGCCCTAGCTCCTGAAGGGGCCGTGGCGGGTGGGGTTGGTGAGAGGCACAATGCCATCCTCATGAGCTGCAGGGAAGGCGTCTGGCCTGGTCCCCAGCTGGGGAGCGTGGAGCTGGGATTCCAGGGTCTGCCTTGGGAGCCTGCTCTCCCAAACCTGATGCCTGTTTCCATCACACCATGGGGGAGTCGGGAGCAGAGCAGGTGGAAGAGAGCCTGGGCCTCTCCTGAGGGAGCCCTCTCTCCATCCCCTGCCTGTTTTGGGGGATGCTGGCTTGGGTCAGGTGAGGGCTGGGAGGTGGGGAAGTCTCACCTGAATCTTCCATGCTCCTGGGCGTTCTTCAGGACATCCTCCAGGGAGGAGCCGGCAGGGACAGAGACAGAGTGTCTGTATGAAGGGGAGATGCCGGAGACCTTCAGCATGACGTCAATGAACTCCGGGACTTGGGTCTGTGGCAGGATCTCTGTAGATGGTTCCAACAGGGCTATACCAGGGAGAGGGGAAGGGGCAGCCGCTCTGAGGATACAGGGCCAGGCCCTAGTCCTCCTTTCTTTCCAGGAAGACACTGCGGCCCATTGGGACCTCCTCCTTCCGCTGGGTCCCCTTCCGGTCAATACCACCACCACCACCACCCAGCTGCTTTCCCGGCCCCCCCAGCCCCTCAGCTCCCACATCCCCCACCACCCAAGTGCAGGCCCCTCACTGGTTTCTCTGCTCCAGTGTCCCCCTCCCACCTACCTGCCCCCCCAGCAGCCCAGGGGCTTCTTAACTAGAACATACATCTGTTCACGTCGTCCTCTGTTACCTCTGAGGGATCCCCTCCTTTTAATCCTCCTGCCTTCCTGCCACTCCAGCTCATCCTACCAGACCCCACGCTGCAGTGAGACCCTCCCCCCAGTTCCAGACTGTACGCCTCTGAGCCTTTGCCCTTGACTCCCCCTCCCCACTCTGCCTTGCCCTTCTCTTCTCCACTGGCAAAACCCACCTACTGACCCCAGTCCCACCCCCAGATGAAGCCCTGATTCAGGCAGCTAACTTCCTAATTCAGGGAGTCATTATGAGGTATGGGAGCTAACCAAAAAGTGTCTCTCCCCATTCATCTATCTATCCATCCATTCATCCATCCATCCATCCATCTATTCATCCATCCATTCATTCATTCATTCAAACATTTCTGTACTGGGCATCTCACAAGGGGCTGGAGAGTCACAGCAGGCCCAAAGCTCACCATTTGGGGTCTTCCACCCCATATTGAGCTTCTAGAATCTGTGATTACATCTTAGCTGCTGGTGTGTCCCACGCATGCCTGCAAACCCTCATTGACTCAGCAAATCACGATGGAGCAAGTCCCTCCCACCACCACTGGGACAGGGCAACTTCATTGCAGATTGAAAAGAGCAGGGCTTCTGTGAAAAGCCTGGCTACCTCTTGGAGCCTGGCAGTCTGGGGAGATGAGATCCACATAGCTCTTCTGGTTCAGGACGGGCAGCAGCTGAGAGATCATGAGAGGGTTCTGGAAGGTCTTATGCTGTAGGCTGGCCTGCAGAGCAGCCTTGGCCTTGAGGCAGGCCGTGCCCAGCTCCACCGTGGGCCTGAGGGAGCCCGTCAGCAACTGGGGACGGAATGGGGAAGAGAAGGAGGAGACGGTCAGCCAGCAGGGAGGGGCCGGGTCTTCCAGGCCCTGGCTGGTCCACTTCCCTCTGGGTAGAGCATGGCCCCGGAGACTCTTCCCCACCTGCAAGGCCAGAGGGGTGCTGTAGACATTCCCGAAGTAGCCCTCTGGGGTCTGGGCCTTCAGAATCTTCTCTTGCACTCTCCTGAGGGCCAGGTTGATCCGGTTTCTCTGATTGGGGTTGAGGTTAGACAGTTCCAGACAGGAGAAGGCCATGCCTGCCATGGCCATGGTGTCTGCAGGGGACAAAGTGATGTCTTTGCTTTTTCATACACTGCCTAGTTTTGTCATAGTTTTTCTTCCAAGGAGCAAGCATCTTTTAATCTTGTGGTCGGGGAAACTAAGATTCCAAAAGCTTTGTGGTATGGCCCCCCCACCCCCAAAAAACAAAAAACCAAAATGAACAAATAAAAAACTCCCCTGGTGATTCTAAAGTGCAGGCAGGTTTGCAAACGAGTGGTGTACAATAAAGTCCTCTTGACCCTCCCTCCTCCAGTCTCTCTCATTAACCTCTGTCCGGTGACTGACCATGCCAGTTTGCCATCCTGCAGACGGGGCAGACTGGGCTGAGCTGTTCCCCCTAACTGGCAGAAGCTTTCTAAGATGCTGCTGGGACCCGATAGCTCCCCTTCCCCCAGCCCTCCAGCCGCCCCGAGGTCCTTCCCTGAGCTGACCCCGCTTAGCTCTGTCGCCTGTTAGCGGGAGATGCACCTGGACAAAAGAGGGCCCTGGAGACCCAGGTCACACAGGAAGGAAGCAGATCCAGAATCCAGGTCTCAGGCCTGCTGGTTCATTTTTGGGTTTGTTTGTTGTTGTTGTTTTTTTTTGGCCCCAGCCTCAGGGCATGTGGGAGCTTACTTGCCTGGCCAGGGATCAAAGCTCTGCATTAGAAGCACAGAGTCTTAACCACTGGACGGCCAGGGAAGTCCCCACCCAGCTTATCCGATGAGAACATCGCAGCTGTGTGTCCAGCACTTGCTCCAAGCCGGGCGCCATGCTGTGTCCTTTACTTATAAGACATCTCTTTGCATGAGACGGGGTGCTCAGGGACAAGCACTGGGATGACCCGGAGGGATGGGGTGGGGGGGGAGGTGGGAGGGGGGTTCAGGATGGGGGACACATGAACACCCATGGCTGATTCACGTCAGTGTGTGGCAAAACCCACTACAATATTGTAAAGGAATTAGCCTCCAATTAAAATAAATAAATTAATTTTTAAAAAACAGACATCTCTTACTGAGAAGTTGCTGGGGGCGGTTATTTCAGCAGAGACGCTGAGCTAGAAAGGCCAGCGGGCCTGTCCGGGGTGACCTACGGTCAGAGCGTGGAGGAGGACGGGGGGAGGAGCTCTGACTCGCAGCCCCTGCACCACGATGGGCCCTCACCGTTCCGCCTCCTAGTGGACCCGAGAGGAGGGGTCCCAAGGAGAGGCGAGCCTGGGGCCGGGGGCTGCTCAGGGTGCGGCTCACTCACCCACAGAGACGTGGTCCTGCCGGAGATGCCGCTCGTGTTCCATGGCGTGCAGGAGCTTGCCCACCACGCTGTCATGGACTCGCTTCTGGTGGACACACAGGGCCAGGATGCCCAGGCCGTACTGGTAGTAGCTGGTGCGGGGGTGGCCCTGGTGGTTGCTCCCTGGGAGGGAGAAAACCACGGGGTGGGAGCGTCAAGCTTGCCCCCTCCCAGCAACCAAACCCCTGCCAGCACCAGACCCATTGCCTGCCCTTCCCGACACCCTCCTTGGGTGGTGAAAGTGAAAGTCACTCAGTCGTGTCTGACTCTTTGTGACCCCATAGACTATACCATCCATGGAATTCTCCAGGCCAGAATACTAGAGTGGGTAGCCTTTCCCTCCTCCATCGGATCTTCCCAACCCAGGAATCAAACCGGGGTCTCCTGCATTGCAAGCGGATTCTTTATCAACTGAGCTATCAGGGACCCTTCTTTTCTTCACCCCCTTGACTCACTTGCTGAGACCTCACCGAGTGTCAGGCGCTGTGCCCGGAGGTATGAACAGCAACGACAGGCCAGGCACAGTGCAGCCAGAGATAGATGAGGACTCGCTCAAACCCAGCCCGGGCAGCGACCTGTTGGTATGCGGCTGGCTGTTCTCAGTTTCTGAACAAAAGTCTGCCTTCTCCCTGGGCCCCCAGAGGCAGGGGAATAAGTCTGGGTGAGATAGACTGCTGCTTCTTTAGGGAAGAAATCAGCCTGTGTTGTTTATCAAGCCACTTTAACCTTTTTGGGTGTCCAAGTAGAAATCTGGTGTGGCGGTTTTTCTTAGAAGCCATAGGAAAGCAGATTTCCCTGGGGGTTCTGATGGTTTCTATTAAGAAAGCTGAGCGCTGAAGAATTGATGCTTTTGAACTATGGTGTTGGAGAAGACCCTTGGACTGCAAGGAGATCCAACCAGTCCATCCTAAAGTAAATCAGTCCTGAATATTCATTGGAAGGACTGATGTTGAAGCTGAAACTCCAATACTTTGGCCACCTGACATGAAGAACTGACTCATTTGAAAAGACCCTGATGCTGGGAAAGACTGAAGGCAGGAGGAGAAGGGGAGGACAGAGGATGAGATGGTTGGATGGCATCACCGACTCAATGGACATGAGTTTGAGTAAACTCCGGGAGTTGGCGATGGCCAGGGAGGCCTGGAGTGCTGCAGTCCATGGGGTCACAGAGAGTCGGACAGGACTGAGTAACTGGACGGACTGGACTGAACTGAACTGCGGTGGGCTGCGGTCTGCGGCGGAGGGGGGAAATGCTGAGTGCTGCCCTCTGCTGGTGGTGTGTGGGCACAACCTCGCCTCTGCCTCAGGGCCGGGTAGTCGCTCTCCCACCTGAATTCTCTCCGTGAATTCTGAGCTGCTGAGAGGGTTGGCTGCCACGCTCACGAGACCACGATTATAGCTGAATTGTGGACCGAGGTCCAAGGGGCCAAATAACAGAGGTCTCTGAATAGCTGGGGAGTTGGGGCAGGATTCTCTGAGGCAGTGACCCAGGGGAGGGAGGGAGGGAGGTGGAGACATATAGGAATGAGCTAGAAGCGGAAGGAAATCTTCCAGATAGGGGGTTCTCTGGATCTGTCAAGACCCTGGTTTGTGAGGTGAGCTGAGAGATATGCCCGGGGTGAATGGAGCCCACGGAGGAGCGGACGAGTGGGTGGGCAGGGTCTGCAGAGAAGAAATGGGCAGACAGATTGGGCCTGAGGGCTGTGAGCACAGCAGCGAGCAGCTCCTGCAGGGTTTACGCAGCGCTAACAGGATCAAATGTATATTTATTTTATTAAAAAAAAAAATTTTTTTTTTTTTGGCTGCACCTCATGGTATGTGAGACCTTAGTTCCTCATCCAGGGATCAAATCCGCGCCTCCTCTATTGGAAAGTGGAGTTTTAAGCATTGGGCTGCTGGGGCAGTCCCTAGGTTTATACTTTAAATGCCCACTCTGTGTGGGCCAGGTTGAGTCAGGAGGCAGGAGAGGAAGCAGAGGGAGGCTAAGGAGTAAGGAGGCTGGGCAGTTGTCCAGAGGAGGATAGTCAGACCAAACTTGGTGGCTGAGCAGCAGGACTTGCCAACAGAATGCATGTGGGATGCAAGAAAGGCTTGATTCAGGATGCCTCCTGGAGCAGTCCCAAGCCTTCTTGATGAATATCAAGACAGGCAGAGTGGAGGGCAGGAAAGAGCCCTGAGGAGAAAACCCAAAGCTCTGATGTGGACGTTCCAGGACGCTGCCCGATGTGCCCTCCCCGCCCCGGGCAGCCCGCGCCTCCTCACCGATGGCCCCCTTCTCGTCCTCCAGGAACCGCTTCAGCTGGGAGACCAGCCTGTCCCCCTTGCGGCCTCCGACGAACTCGCAGTTGGCCCGGAGAGCCAGCAGGTAGAGGGCCAGCTGGCCCATGGAGGGCTTGGCCTCAGAGTCACTTCCGTCCTCGCTGGAGTCGGGCCTAGGACAGAGCCAGGCAGCGACACTTCCGTGAGAAAGGGCCTTCCTGGTAAGCCTGCCTTGGCGTGCTCTCCCTGCCAATATGACAAGCTGGAAAAAAATATCCTAGCGGTTGGAAAGTTTCTGAGACCTGCCAGAAGCAGATGTAGTCAGCGATGTAAGTTGTGAGGTGTACGTCACACATATTTCATAAAGATGACAAGTTGAACTCAAGGACAAACTCTGAGAGTTCTTGAGCCCAAGTGACCTGTTTGCCCCACCCTTGTGGTCACGCTTCACCCCTACATCCTCCCCCTTTCCTTCCTCTCCCCGCCCTGCATCCACTTCCCAAGAGGGAGTCCAAGCAGGAGATGGTCTCTGACGGTCCTGACCCTTCGCCCTTCATTCAAACCCCCATGCTGGACCTAGGACAAGCCCCCCCACTCAATAACCTCTGGAAAGGGAGCGCAGATAGTCCGATGCTGCCGCCGTGCACAGTGTGAGTGTGGCCATGGATTAGTGATGTCTGCCTTAGTCAGGCAGAGGGCGGTACAGCGGCTGCACAAAGGCCCTGGATTAGCATCTCCAATCTGGTCAGACCAACCCCACTCCACAGATGGAGACAGGCCCGGAGGAGGAGGTGAAACTGGCCCTAAGGTCTACCCAACAAAGCAGCGACAGGCCCAAACCGGAGCACGGATCTGCTGCCTCCTAGGATGAGGGGCAGCCCCAGAGAAAGGAGGAGAGAGCATGCCCGGACCTCAGGAGGCTCTGCTGGTAGCTAAGCTTGAGGCTGTGCAGGTAGTGGGCCTCCTTGGCCCCAGCCTGCAGGCTCGAGAGGCGCAGGCCCACGTAGATACTGGGGTTCAGCTGCTCCGGGGAGAGCCGGTCCATCCAGGGCAAGAGGCACTGGCCCAGCCTCTCCACCAGCGTGCTGTCCACCTCGGTTATCTCTTAGGGAAGAGAAGAGGCCAAGTGAGGGGCAGGGACAAGCCACAGGCGGCATCTCATCAAGGTCTTTTTCCAGGGAATAAACACCCCCACCCTTAAGGCCACCAGCCACACACCCGACTCGTATGGGGGAGTCTGGCTGTGATGAGAGGCAGCCGGTATCCCGAAAGAGTGGCTGGAATGGGCCAGGGAAGAGGTGGTGGGCCCAGGGCAGACGCAGCGGGTACCAGGCAGCCACTCTGCTCATCAGAGACTGGCCAAGCAACGGGTGGTTCCCCAGGCACCGCGCCCACCCTCCTTGGTCCTCGCGCCAGCCCTGCCTTGCGATGTAGGTGCTGGGAGCATGGCTTTGCACAAAAGAGGAAACAGAAGTTCAAAGCTGTGGGCGTGTTCCACCCATTTACAAAAACTTCAGCCCACATGGGAACAGGTTACAGATCCAGTTTTAGATCCAGTTTAAAACATAAATAGACTCACAGATGTAGAAAACAAAACTACGGCTACCGTGGGGAAAGGGGGAGAGAGGGACAAACTGGAAGATCGGGACTGACATGTACACACTGAAAAAGTGAAAACGTCAGTCGCTCAGCCGAGTCCGACTCTCTGTGACCCCACGGACTGTCGCCCGCCAGGCTCCTCTGTCCCTGGGAGTCTCCAGGCAAGAGGACTGCAGTGCGTCGCCATTCCCTTCTCCAGGGGATCTTCCTGATCCAGGGATCTCACCCAGGTCTTGTGCCTTGCAGGAAGATTCTTTACCATCTAAGACACCAGGGAAGTCCATGTACATACTACTCTCTCTACATATATAAAGTGAAAAGAAAGTGAAGTCGCTCAGTCGTGTCCGACTCTTTGCAACCCCACGGGCTGTAGCCTACCACCCTCCTCCGTCCATGGGATTTTCCAGGCAAAAGTACTGGAGTGGGTTGCCATTTCCTTCTCCAGAGCGTCTTTCTGACCCAAGGATCAAACCTGGGTCTCCTGCCTTGTAGGAAGACGCTTTTCCGTCTGAGCCACCAGGGAAATTATAAAACAGATAACTAAATGAGGACTTAGGGTATAGCACAGGGAACTTTACTCAACACTCTGTAATAAAAAAAAAAATACTCTGTAATGATCTATATGGGGAAAAAATCTTTTAAAAAAGTGGACATAGGTATACGTATAACTGATTAACTTTTCTGTGCAGCAGAAATTAACACAACATTGCACATCAACTATATTCCAATTACAAAAATTAAAAAAAAAAAACAACACTGCAGGCTGCCCACTGGCTAGCTAGGGCTGTCTGGTGAACTTCCTTGGGGGCAGATCTCAGAATAACGCTTTTCCTGCCACCTGAGTTTCGGTGAGAAGGACCTGAGATTGCTAAACTGCTGAAAAGCCATTGTCATTGCCTGCAGCCATTTATCTGTGTGTTTCGGAATTCACTGGGGGAAGCAGAAGCCTCATGGTATTTCCCAGCTCCAGCAGACAGGGGCCAGCCTCCCTCAAGGAGGGGACCTGGGCTGAGCAGGTGGCCTTGGACTTTTCCCGGCTACTTCCTCCTAATTGGTTCATGGTGGCTCAGACGGTGAAGCGTCTGCCTGCAACGTGGGAGACCCAGGTTCCATCCCTGGGTCAGGAAGATCCCCTGGAGAAGGACATGGCAACCCACTCCAGTATTCTTGCCCGGAGAATCCCAGGGACAGAGAAGCCAGGCGGGCTACAGTCTGTGGGGTTGCAAAGAGTCGGAGTCAACTGAGCGACTTCACTTTCACTTTCTTTCCTCCTAATTGCAGTGGGGATTCCAGGTGCTGGGCAGCTGCCCCGCCACCCACCCCAACCCCCGGGGAACGGGGCAAAGGAACTTGAGGGGAGGCTGCGTCTCTTTTCCTTTCTCTTTCTCTGTGGCTTTCTGTGTCCACCTCCATTTCTATAGGAATTTCTCTCTCTCTCTCTCTGGATCTATCTCACTCTTTACATTTCTCAGCCAGTCTCTCTGCTTATCCGTCCTTCCACAGTTCTCTCTTCCTTTCCCTCTTCTTCAGACCGGAGAGGGAGCCCCTGCTCCCACCCAGGGCTCCGACCTCCATAGAGTGAGTCAGCTTGGGGATTAGAGAGACAGGAAGAGGAGCTGGTGCTCTAGCGAGCGGCAGGTCAACCCGATTCAGTCCCAGCAGGAAGGAGCCAGGCAGATTCCGCCAGGGTAATAAAAGTGAGCCTGGGCGAGCACACTGCCCTCTGGGCCGGGGGTTCACAGGGCTTTGCCTGCTTTGCCAGCCGAGGACTGGCTCTGACAATGGGAGCTCCATGCAGGAGCTGTTGCGGGCGTCCTTGTCATAGTCACAGCCACACGGGGCTTGAAGCTGGCAGAGCAGAAGTGCTTGCCTCACGCCAGGGGGAAAGCGGGGGAGCATTCCCAACCCCTTTCACAAGTAAGGGAATAAGACTGGGGGTGACTAAATGGCCTGGCAGCAGCGGGCTGTACCCCCAAACCCGGCTCAGCACTCTTAAGGGGTCAAGCCTATGGATGAATTTTTGAAAGCCTCACACCCAACGGAGGGTCCTGGGTCGCCCTGGAGACTGTCTGGACAGGACCAAGAGCCAAGAGCGTGAGGGGTCAGAGACTTCTGGTGCCCAGGGAAGACCCTGACCTGGACTTCTGAGAACCGAGTTCCAGCAAAGTCCTGGAAAGCCACGGCGCCTTGGGCAGGCAGGTCACCTGGTCCCTTTGAGCCTTGACCGCTTCATCTGTCACCTGGACACGATTGCGCCTGCCTCTCGGTTTCTCCAAGGGTCCCCAGAGATCCTGCTGGAGGGCACCTCCCTTCCTGCCTCTGTTTCCTGCGGGGCTCCAGGGCGTCAGCAGCCCTGAGCCTGTGTGCTCAGGCAGGCCCCTGGTGTGGAGTGCAAAGCTAATGCCTTGCCGTACTCACACCTCGGGTCTTCACCTGCTCACTTTCCCTCTGTCTGGGGTGCCCACCGCGCCCCCCCCCCGCCCCCCACACTCCTCTCCTCACCGCCACCAGCGCCTTTTCCTCCTTTGGGTCTCAGTTCCTGCATCGCCTCCTGGTCCTCGGAAATCCCACCCTTTCTCCCTGAATTGGTGGCCTCCAGCTCTCTCCCTCCAGGCTGGGGGGCTTCCTTTGGCCACAGCCCCCAAGCCCAGCACTGACTCGCCTCTTGACCACTGTCCTTTTCACGAGAACGGAAGCTCTATCTAGCTGGGGCAGGGCTGGGACCCGTTTCTTGCTCCCTGTTTTTTTCCCAAAGCCTAGTCCCACACCTGGCATAGTGAAGGCTTGGTCAACATGTACTGAATGAATAAATCAACAAATGACTGATGTCATGGGAGCAGTCTTGTCTGCTGGCAAGTTAGACACGGTTCATCTCAACACAGCGTGCTAAATGTGTTGAGGTTCAGGCAAGTCCAAACCACCGCGGGAGCCCCAAGGGGCGGCTAAGTCACCCCCCGACACACATCTGAGCCTCGGTTTCCCCCACTGTATAATGAGGGGCTGGGACAAGATGGTCCCCTCTCCAGGTTAGATCCAGTTACTCACCGCAGATGTGGGCGAGCGCTCCCAGGCCCCCCAGCAGAAAGAGGAGGGCCCCGAGGTGCTCCATGGTAGGAGCAGGGGGTGGACAGCAGGCAGGGAGTGGGGCAGGCTGCTAGGGCTGGCCGGGTAGAGGCTCTCCTGACCACAGCGGTCACTGCTCCAAAAGAGGCAGCTTCCTGTCACTGATTAATCCCTCCACGCCCGGCGGCACACTGCTAAGTCAGCAGAGGGAAAAGGGAAAAGGTCTGTAGCTGAGGGGAAAGGGAGGCCAAAGAACAGGGGAAGGAAGGGCAGAGCAGCACAGGCCTTCCTGGAGGCGGGGGAAGGGGAGAGTGCGGCTAGCCACACTTTCCCCGCTGCCCCGGGACGTGGGTGCAGGACGTCTGACTGCTGATCTGCTCTAGTCTGTCCAGCCACGCCTGTCTGTACGCCCTCGGCTGTTCCCGAGGTAGACAGGCATGACTGGGAAGCCTACCTGGTACCCCTCCCAGCAGGAGCCCCTGAAACTGCCCACCCCGGCCTGGGACAGGGGAACGGGACTCGGAGCTGGGATAGTCACATGAGCAGTCAGCTGTTCTCTGCCGCCTGCTCAGAGGGGGCGCGGCTGCTGGAGCCAGACCAGACCGCCCAGTTTTCTTAACCAACCGAAAAGATGGGAGCCTCCTGGGAGACAAAACAAAGCAATTTAAGGAGCCAGATTTAATCAGTAGACACACGAAGCCATGGTTAGCAGGGCCAATTGCAAGGACTAGGAAAGTCACCTGGAAACAGTCTCTGCAAGGAGAAGAGAGAAGAAAGGCTTTTTCCCCATCCACCATGCCCCACAGAAGAATCTGTCCAAGAGTTAGCTCTGGAGGTGCTGTGTTACCTTGGCCTTTCGAGTCTGAAATAGTTTCTCTTGTGTGAACCAAACGGGTTGGAGAAGATCATTCTAATTAAGCTCCCTTCCAGCTCAACTTGTGAAGATGTTCAGACCTTAAAATATCTTTAGTCACTTGCAAATACAATTTTTTCTGCAATCATTTTATGGGTAATTGCCACAGTTCATTCTTTCAAGATAATCTGGTTTTGTGCCTGACTTCTCACAAGCCAATAAATACAGACATAAGTAAATACAGAGATGTGCATCTGCTTAAGGAAGTACTTTACAAATACAGAACGAGATAGTCTAGTGCAAGGAGGCTGGGTGTGGCCCATCAGGGTGGAGTTCTCCTGCTGATCCTCGGGCTCAGACTTCCAGGGGGACCTTGGAACTCTGGGCAATGGAACACTCATGGTCTGGGACAGGGCTGCCCGGCTCCCCAGTCCTTGGCAATGATCCTGTTTCCTGCCGTCTCCAGGACAGTGGCCTCTGTGAGAAGCAGCTTCCTTGGGAGAGTCACCACCTCCGATCCCTGGGGACTTGAAGGTGCCTGGGTGACTAGTGGGGGAGGAGGTGCATTTCCATAGATATTAGAAATAGACTGACTGACTGGGGGTGGAATGTTTTAGGTAATGCGGGCAGGGGAAGTGAAAAAGAAAATGATAATCATTTGGTTCGGGACTTCTGTTTGGGGGTCTGGAGCTGGGAAAGTGCCTTCCCAGGTGGCTCAGGGGTAAATAATCCACCTGTCAATGCAGGAGACATGGGTTCGATCCCTGGGTAGGGAAGATCCCCTGGAGAAGGGAATGGCAACCCACTCCAGTAGTCTTGCCTGGAGAATCCCATGGACAAAAGGAGCCTGGTGGGATACATTTCATGGGGTTGCAAAAAAGTTGGGACACAACTGAGCGACTAAACAACAGCAAAAAGCCGAGAAAGTAAACACTGACTTGGAATGGGCAGGTACAAGTTTGCATATCTGTGCACAAGGTCAGGCACAGACAAAGCCAGCTGTGACGTAAACAGGAAACACGATTTCTCCCAAGGTCACATTACAGCTGTAAGGTGTCCCAATAACCATGCTGTTTGAGTGACTGTTACTCTTCTTACTGGGATTTCTTTTTCCCCCTAAAATCACAAACCATCAGTAATTTGCTGTTTGAAATTGTTAGTAAGAAAGAAAGAGTCTTGGAGGCGCCAAGTCACTTTGACAAGGGAAGCTGCTCCAGTATTTATTTTCCGGGCTCAACAGTCCCTGCCGTCTCGACTTTGTAGTTTTCAGGTAAACAGGATAGTTTGCTGTCCAGACCTCAAGCTGACCCTTCTCATGCAGCCCTGCGCTGTGTTAAACCCACCAAAATACTGCCTGGTTGGGACTTCCCTGGCAGTCCAGTGGTTAAGACTCCTTGCTTGGGGTGTGGGTTCCATCCCTGGTTAGGCAACTAGGATCCCTCATGAGGTGTGGCCAAAACAATTGAAAATAAAAATACTGTTTGGTTTACATTTTACCTAACTTAACCCTTCACCCAAATCCTATAATAACCTTTCTCTTTGTGTGGCCAAACCCCACAGTTCCTCCCCCTCATTTCAGTGGATCAACTGAGCTGATTCTGTTAGGCTTAAAGGTTTGTTCTTAGTGGTCTTAGAATGAATGGGCTAGGACACAGCCTAAGAAGGAATCCAATAGGGAAAGAAAATTAAATTGTATATATAAACCAGGATATATTGCAGAGCACAGGGAATATAGCCAATATTTTATCAGAACTAAACACGGAGTATAACCTTTAAAATTTCTGAATCAGGCCCTTGGCTAAGAGGAGACTGCGTTGGGCCCGCCGATGTAATAAACTGCACTCCACTATCTGCATTGTCCTTCTGAGTGAGTTTTTTTCCCGGAAAGCATGGCTATAACATTTGGTGCATGGGCCGGGAAACTCCTCACTTTGAGGAGACAGGTCTCATTTGAGGCCACCCCGAGGCTTTGTAGCTTGAATCTCCTAGAGGGGGGAAGGCGCCTCGCCCCTCTGGAAGTATTCTGCTTCTCAACGCCCGGACCTTTCACGTCAGCAGGTAGTGGACGGCAGCAGGGGAACTGATGGCTCAGTTAAAGTTGCAGGTATTGTCCCTTGATCCATCACACCAGAGCGAAGAAGGCATACCATGCTGACCCGGAGGACGCCGAATGGACCACCCAGAAGGACCCCACCAACCCACAGGAAACCAAGATCATTCTGAGGAGGAAGAAGAAAACGAGGTCCCGGACGAGCCCTCTACAAGATGGAGCTGGGTAAAGACTCCTTCTGCTCGGCCTCACCAACGCAATTCTGAACCTGACCACTGCTCCTGCACAGGACAGCGTCTTCATCTCGTGGGCCACAACTCCGCCAACTGTTGGGTATGCGGGGCTATGCCACTGTCAGTAATAGACAGACTCCCCTGGTGGGTATTGCCACTCCGTTATGGGGACTTTCCTCTCTCTCACCAACCATAACCTTTCTTTGCTCATGTAAGAAGAAGCCATCAATGGGCCAGGGACATAGGGTTACATTTAACATGAACACCAGCCTTATGGAGATAACAAAGGCTTATACCTCATATATGAGAATTAAAGAGGAAAAGGGCTCCCTTACAAAAGGGGGACAGGCCTCCCGTACCTTGAGCAATACTACCAGGCCTGGGATGAATATTTCTGGATGACTCCTGAGAAAGGACAGTTGATTGCCCCTGCTACTATTTGCTGGGAACAAAAAGAACAGAAAGTTGAATTTGGAGACCATCCCCTAGACCCAAAAGAATTGTTATTTGTCCCTGAACAAAGTAAACAAATCTTGGAAGTTACCTATCACCCCAATCAGTCTGCTCAGTGGCCTGGTTCCAACTGGAAATATAATCCTGGAATCCGCTGGGTAGCCCCCAATGGGACCCAGCGGCTCTGTGGGCTTAACTTATGGCCATGGTTACCAGTTGGCTGGGTGGGGTGTTGCACATTAGGATTTGCTTTTGCCCATGGCAGTATTAAGCCTAGCCTACACCAGCCTCCAGCAAACCTGCCTTATCTGCATGCAAGATGGACATGATCCATGTTCCAATGGTATGACTATCTTGCTGCCTTGTTTGTACCCTCTGTAGGGACAATGGATATCATGGTTAAGGTAGAGGCCTTAACTAATTTCACTAAACAGGCCCTCTTAGACAGTACTAAAGCCATTCAAGCTTTGAATGAAGAACAGATTCAGATGAGGAAGGCAGTAATTCAAAATAGGATGGCATTAGACATACTCACAGCAGCCCAAGGAGGGACTTTCGCGAATGTTGTGTGTACATCCCTGACCTGTCTGAAGATGTATCTGCTGCCTTGGAGGATATGCAAAATCAAGTGAAAGCCATGTCTAATGAACTGTTGTTATAGTAATCTTGATCATTCTGCTTTGTGGGCCCTGCTTCCTACAATGCCTTGGGAAGTTTGTAACCCAGAGGTTGATAGCATTCTCTCATGTGGGTGGCAGGAGGGCTAAGGTACAATATATCTCAATAAGTGATGCTCGTTATGGAAACTAAGAGCATCAGGAGGGGGGAATGAAGAAGGAATTCACAGGGCCTGGACTCCATCTCAGGCCTGTTCGTGCTGGTCCTGCGTGGCCACCTCTCCAGTGGACTCTGAACTCTGTGCTTAGCGCCTGTGGGAATGACAATGGAAGGATAAGACCCCCCTCTGGGCAGGGGAATCTTGAAGAAGAGAAAACAGACACTAATCACCCCTGCCTCCAGACAGTATCTATCGAAATGTAACCACAGGCTTATTGGTTATTAACTGGTTGGAATGTAACCGCGGGCTTATTGATTATTAACTGTTTGAACACATAACACGTGAATGATGGGGTTATTGTGATTGTATTTACCCTTCCTTTGTAAGCCTCAAGGGATTTGGGGTGGTGGGTTTGGACACGTACACATGGGGTATAAAAGATTTTCACAAATGCTGGTTGGGGCCCTTGGCTAAGAGGAGACTCTGTGTTGAGCCCGCCAGTGTAATAAACTGCACTCCACTAAAAAAAAAAAAAAAAAAAAAAAAATTTCTGAATCACTATGTTGTACACCTGAAACTAATACAACATTGTACATCAACTGTACTTCAATTTCTTTAAAAAATGGTGAAAAAATGTATGCATGACGGTGGCATGAGGATAATGAATATAACAAATGCATGACTGTGTGGTCACATCCTGGATATCCATTCTCTTAATTAAAAATGGGTGGGGAAAAAAAATGGGTGGGGAAGATCCCCTGGAGAAGGGAATGGCTGCCCACTCCAGTACTCTTGCCTGGAGAATCTATGGACAGAGGAGCCTGGTGGGCTACAGTCCATGGGGTCACAGAATCGGACACGACTGAGCAACTCACACTCTCACCTTCACATTAAAATCTTAGAGCCCATTTAATGTAGAAGGAAGTTCATAATTAATCTTAAATTATAAAAATGATGTAAGTAACACACATGGGTTGCACAAAAAAATTAGAAAACATGTTAAGGGAGAAGAAGGAGCTAGAGGAGCTAGTCCAGTGGCTGAGACCCTGCTCCCAACACAGGAGGCACGGGTCCCATCCCTGGTCAGGGAACTAGATCCCACATGTCAAAACTAGGAGTTTGCATGCTGCAACTGAAGATCCTGTATTGCCGCAATGAAGATCAAAGACGCCCTGTGCCACAACTAAGACCTGGCACAGCCAAATAAATAAGTAAATATGTAAAAAAGAGTGGGGGAAAGGGTGCTAATTTCAGAAGCTTCTATAATGAGTAAGGTCTGTAAGAATAAAGGTAAAAGGACCGGCACATAAGCACTACATCATGAGGGTAAGAATTGATCATTCTGATGCTAGTCAACACTGTTGCTGTTGTTCAGTCGCTCAGCCATGTCTGACTCTGCGATCCCATGGACTTCAGCATGCCAGGCTTCCCTGTCCTTCACCATCTCCCAGAGCTTGCTCAAACTCATGTCCATTGAGTCGGTGACACCATCCAACCATCTCATCCTCTGTTGTCCTCTTCTCCTCCTGCCTTCAATCTTTCCCAGCAACAGGGTCTTTTCCAATGAGTCAGTTCTTCGAGTCAGGTGGCCAGAGCTTCAGCATTAGTCCTTCCAATGAACACCCAGGACTGATATCCTTTAGGATGGACTGGTTTGATCTCCTTGCAGTCCAAGGGACTCTCAAGAGTCTTCTTCAACATCACAGTTCAAAAGCACAGTTCTTTGGCGCTCAGCTTTCTTTATGGTCCAAATCTCACATTCATACATGACTGCTGGAAAACCATAGCTTTGACTAGACAGACCTTTGTTGGCAAAGTAATGTCTCTGCTTTTTAATATGCTGTATGGTTTGGTCATAGCTTTTCTTCCATGTAGCAAGTGTCTACATCACCATCTGCAGTGATTTTGGAGCCCAAGAAAATAAAGTCTCTCACAGTTTCCATTGTTTCCCCATCTATTTGCCATGAAGTGACAGGACCAGATGCCATGATCTTTGTTTTTTGAATGTTGAGTTTTAAGCCAACTTTTTCATTCTTTCACTTTCATTAAGAGACTCTTTAGCTCCTCTTCGCTTTCTGCCATAAGGGTGGTGTCATCTGCATATCTGAGGTTATTGATGTTTCTCCCAGTAATCTTGATTCCAGCTTGTGCTTCATCCACCCTGGCATTTCACATGATGTGCTCTGCATGTAAATTAAATAAGCAGGATGACAGTATACAGCCTTGACATACTCCTTTCCCAATTTGGAACCAGTCCGTTGTTCCATGTTCAGTTTGAACTGTTGCTTCTTGACCTGCATACAGGTTTCTCAGGAGGCTAGTAGACATGTGCACTAGAATCGAACAATTAAATGGATGGCAGACTGTAGGCAGAGGGCAAGTTTCTTGCTGTTGGAGAGGGCTTTACAAATAAGCATGGGGAGGAGGCTGGAATGATCCATGTGGCAATGGTGGATACATCAGTATGAGTTCAGGGTTAGCTTAATACAGACATAAATGGTTGCATCCAGAACTAGTGACAAGTATGTGTGTACACAACAGAATAGTACTCACAAACATACCTTTTGCTCTGTCAGCTGAGATACCACAATAGCAATAAGATTACCAAGTGCCTAGATTTTGGTTTATAATAACCATTCTCCAATTAAAGAAACCAGGTTCCCCTGGTATATAAAAAGAACCAGGCTGATTCCCTGATAGCTCAGTTGGTAAAGAATCCGCCTGCAATGCAGGAGACCCTGGTTCGATTCCTGGGTCGGGAAGATCCCCTGGAGAAGGGATAGGCTACCCACTCCAGTATTCTTGGGCTTCCCTTTGATTCAGCTGGTAAAGAATCCGACCACAATGCGGGAGACCTGGGTTCAATCCCTGGGTTGGGAAGATCCCCTGGAGAAGGGATAGGCTACCCACTCCAGTATTCTGGCCTGGAGAATTCCATGGACTGTATATGTATAGTCCATGGGGTCGCAAAGAGTCAGACACAACTGAGTGACTTTCACTCACTTTCGTTTTCACTTCCCCTAATATGGCTGACACCAGGACTAGGACAAGAAATATGCGAGATGAGTCTGGTGCATTTTATAAGGCCGGAATGTAAGCAAGTGTGTGCCACACAGGGTATGTCAGAAAGATACAAAAGCGGGCGGGGCCGGCCCTCCAGCTGGCTCGGACCCCGGCGGGGCGGGCCGTAGACGGAGCGGCTGGCGCCCGGACGCCGGCCCGTAAGCCAGGAGAGAAGGGGCGGCGGCGCGGACGGGACGGGGCGGCGGCTGCCCGCCGTGACCCTCTGCTCCCCCGCCCAGGCCCGGGTGCGAGTCGGAGGCGGCGGCAAAGGAAGGAGCCAGCATGGCTGAGACCTCGCCGCCGCCCACCGCCGGCGCGGAAAGTTGCAGCGAGGAGCCGGCGAGGCGCGGGAAGCAGCGGCCGGAGGAGCCGCGCCGCGCTCCAGCCGGGGGCGCGGACCGGGAGGACGAGGCGGGGCCGCCGCTGGCCTCCCCCGCGGGGCAATCGGAGCCCGGCTCTCCGGTGGCCGCCCCCTTCTCCCTTCTCTACCCGGGCGATGGAGGCGCCGGCTTCGTAGCGCGCCCGCCGCCGCCGCAGCAGCGCTCCTGGAGGACCCCGCCGTCGCCGGGCTCCCCGCTGCCCTTCCTGCTGCTGAACTACCCGAGCGGGGGCGGCGGCGGCAAACACCATCCTAATTATCTCATGGCTAACGAACGCATGAACCTGATGAACATGGCCAAGCTGAGTATCAAGGGCTTGATCGAATCTGCTCTGAACCTGGGGAGAACTCTGGATTCTGACTACGCACCTCTGCAGCAGTTCTTTGTGGTGATGGAGCACTGCCTGAAACACGGCTTGAAAGAACACCTGTAGGCAGAGGAAGAGCCTGGCTTCGTCTGGCACTAATGCAAAAGAAACTCTCAGAATACATGAAAGCTTTGATAAATAAGAAGGAACTTCTCAGTGAATTCTATGAACCCAATGCCCTCATGATGGAAGAAGAAGGAGCTATAATTGCTGGTCTGTTGGTGGGCCTGAATGTCATTGATGCCAATTTCTGTATGAAGGGAGAAGATTTGGACTCTCAGGTTGGAGTTATAGATTTTTCGATGTATCTCAAGGATGGGAACAGCAGTAAAGGTAGTGAAGGAGATGGCCAGATTACTGCAATTCTGGATCAGAAGAACTATGTAGAAGAACTCAACAGACACCTGAATGCTACTGTAAACAACCTTCAGGCAAAAGTGGATGCATTAGAAAAATCCAACACTAAACTGACAGAGGAGCTTGCAGTTGCAAACAACAGAATTATCACCTTGCAAGAAGAAATGGAACGAGTTAAAGAGGAAAGCTCCCACATATTGGAATCTAATCGGAAGGGTCCTAAGCCAGACCGAACTTCAGAAGGGCAAGCATTGAGTGAAGCCAGGAAGCACTTAAAGGAAGAGACACAACTACGACTGGATGTTGAAAAAGAACTGGAGATCCAGATCAGCATGAGACAGGAGATGGAACTGGCTATGAAGATGCTGGAGAAGGACGTCTGTGAGAAGCAGGACGCCCTGGTGTCTCTGCGCCAGCAGCTGGACAATCTCAGGGCTCTGAAGCATGAACTTGCCTTCAAGCTGCAGAGTTCGGACTTGGGAGTAAAACAGAAAAGTGAACTGAACAGTCGCTTAGAAGAGAAGACGAATCAGATGGCTGCTACCATTAAACAACTGGAACAAAGATTGCGCCAGGCTGAGCGAGGCTGCCAGTCTGCTAAACTGGACAACCGGCTCTTCAAGCAGGACTTCGGAGACAAGATCAACAGTCTGCAGCTGGAAGTGGAGGCGCTCACCAGGCAGCGGAATCATCTTGAGTTAGAACTAAAACAGGAAAGAGAAAGAAGGTTACAAAACAGCAGGAGCATCCCAGGAAAGGGATCCCAGAAGCCAGAACCCAAAATGGATGGGAAGCACAAAATTCAAGAGGAAAATGTTAAACTAAACAAGCCCTTGGAAGAAAGCCACAGGCTGCAGTCTCACCCGATGGATCAACAGGATCAGCCATTGTCCTCTGAAAAGCCACCAAAGTACTGTCAGCTATGCCAGGAAGACTGCAGCCTGACAAAGAATGTATGTAGGAATTGCAGAGGAACCTTCTGTAACATCTGCTCAACAAACGAACTGCCTCTTCCTTCAAGCATCAAGCCTGAGCGAGTTTGCAATCCCTGCCACGAGCATCTGATGAAACAATATTCCACCAGTCCATCATAAGATGGAGGCCAATATCTGGACCAGAATGTATCCACCCACGTTAGATGTCAGAATCCCCTAGAGCCGACTTTAGAATCAACTTGAGTTGATAGGAATGCTTTAAATAAACCAGGTCCAGGAAGAAAAGACAGTGGTTGGCAGTGCTGGAAGTTTTGCGTGTTTTCTCTAATGACTGTATGAATAAAAGTTACTCAGTTGAGCCTCTCTCTGCTAAATCTAAACAACCCCACTTTGAAGCATTGATCTTATAGTTTGTCTTTGGAAGGGCTATTCATTTTTATGAATAGTGATAGTAATACTGAGCTGCATGTTAAAGGAGAGAGGGTCCTTAGTGAATAAGAATAAAAAGGAAAACGATCATCCCTTTATTGTATTTGGAGATTCAAGAGGGAAAGGTCATTGTTAACCGAGATTGAAATGATAGAGGTTACATGTTCTCTCAGGTGCTGCTAGACATAAACATTATTTCCTCTTTACCCCCACAACCTACCTCTTCTTTAAAGGATCTCTACCAAACTGTGAACAAACTCAGGGAAAAGAAATTAAAGAGTAATATAAATTTTGAATGTACTTAAAATAATATTATAATGTATTCTAGTTTTAGGACCAGAATTTTCTAGTTCTGGCCTACACATTTTCACTATCAGAATAAGGAGGAAGAATGTTTGCTGTTTTTCCACTTAGTGACTTCAAAAGTAAATACCTGCCCTTTTCAGAATCTGCTGCGCAACAAGCCAGCTCTTCCCCAGTCTCCCTCCTCTCTGGGTCACGGAAATTATAAGGGGTTTTTAAAGATAGGGTTTGACTTTTGCAAACAGGAAGTACTAAAGCAAAGCCATGTCAGGTGTAGAGTGAAAAAACTTAATTTGTGCATGGCTGAGAATAATTAGCTGAGAATACTTGTTAAATTCTTTTGTGAATAATGGATTCCTTACTCCAAGCCAAGATTCAGAACTGGTAGACAGGTTTTTTGGAAAGTATGATAGTCAAAACAGTTCTTAGTAACAAACCCTTTGGGGGAAAAAAAGACATGCATTCAGCAGGGGAAGGCAGGAAATGGTCTGTGCTCCTTTGATTATGTTGCATGTACATAGATTGTTTGATTCCAATGAAGACCTAAGAAGATAAGATTCTGTTAACTGGTTTAGAGTTATGGGGTGGGAACATCCTGGAACTATGATATTTGATAAATTCTGTCTCCTGAAAAGAGTGACAGCTCAGGAAAGTTGTTATTCCAGAAGTCTGACCTGTTCTTTGGTGGAGCTGAGTTTTAAGAGCCCTAGGGAAAAATAAAATTAGTAATTCCAAAAAAAAAAAAAGAAAAGAAAGATACAAAAGCAAACTGAAACGGCCCTCTAGTGGCCAAAGCTGGAACATTTCGAGCAATAAAATAAAGTGATGTTAGACTATAACCTTGGAGAAGGAAATGGCAACCCACTCCAGTATTCTTGCCTGGAGAATCCCAGGGATGGCGGAGCCTGGTGGGCTGCCGTCTGTGAGGTCACACAGAGTCGGACACGACTGAAACGACTTAGCAGCAGCAGGCTATAACCAGGTCTTCCCTCATAGCTCAGTTGGTAAAGAATCTGCCTGCAATATGGGAGACCTGGGTTCAATCCCTGGGTTGGGAAGATCGCTTGGAGAAGGGAAAGGCTACCCACTCCAGTATTCTGGCCTGGAGAATGCCATAGACTGTATAATCCATGGGGTCGCAAAGAGTTGGACACGACTTTCATTTTCACTTTCAGACTATAACTTGAGCTTCGCAGGTGGCACCAGCAGTAAAGTGCCAATGTAGAAGACATAAAGAGACTCAGGTTCAATCCCTGAGCGGGGAAGATCCCCTGGAGGAGGAAATGGCAACCCATTCCAGTATTCTTGCCTGGAGAAGCCCAGGGACAGAGGAGACCTGCGGGCTACAGTCCATAGGGTTGCAAAGAGTCAGACACAACTGAAGCAACTTAGCAGACACACATGCAGACTATAACCCAAAGTAAAAATAAATAGCCATGAGTACATACTGATATAAATACTGACATACACTGAATGTTTGTGTGTTCCCCTCCTCACCCCCTGCAATTTACGTGTTGAAAATTAATCCCTAATGCCATGGGTTTTGGAGGTGGGGTCTTTGGGAGGTAATCAAGAGCCATAATGAAAGGGATTAGACCCCTTATAAAAGAGATCCCAGTAGATAAACAATAAGGACCCATTGTATAGCACAGGGAACTATACTCAATATCTTGTAATAAACTATAATGGAAGAGGATAATAAAAATAATATATTAAAAAAGAATGCATATACAAAATAACTGGGGTCTTCCCCCAGGTGGCTCAGTGGGAAAGAATCTACCTGCAAATGCAAAAGACACAGGAGACAAGGGTTTGATCTCTGGGTCAGGAAGAGCCCCAGGAGGAGGAAACAGCAAACCACTCCAGTATTCTTGCCCGGAGAATCCCATGGTCAGAGGAGCCTGGTGGGCTACATACAGTCTACGTGGTCGCAAAGAGTCGGACACGACTGAGCACATGTACAAGATACAACTGAATCACTTTTTTATACACCTGAAACTAATACATGGTAAAATAACTATATTTTGATTAAAAAAAAATTTTTTTAAAGAGACCCCAGAGACAGCCCTCACTCCTTCAGCCCTGTGAGGACGCAGTGAAAAGGTGGCTGTCTATAAACCAGAAACCTGGCCTTCTCCAGACACCAAATATGTTGACCCCTTGGTCATGGACTTTCTAGCCTCCAGAACTGTGAGAAGTAAATTTTTGTTGTCTATAAGCTACTTACGGGATTTTGTTATACCCACTGGACAGACTACGACAAATGGATGAGAGGCAGATCTCCCTCACAGAACAGTCTCCAGCAATGAGCAGAGATACACTGCCTTTAAGAAGCGGAAGTGCGGCTCCGCAGGTTTAAGTGTGGGCCGTTCCAAGTGCTCCCAACAATTACGGCATGAAAAAGGGGTGGGACGAAGAGCGTGTTTGCAGAGGAGAAGCTTGACAAGCGCTGCCTTGACCAAATGACCAAAGCCAGCATGAGCAGCGATAAATCATGTTGACAGCGTACAGCCTTGACAGGATGTAATGAAAATAGCACTTCGCCTCTGTGGTCCTCCTCCAACCCACAGTTTAACTATGAGTTTAAAAAAAAAGAAATAAGACAAATTCCAAAGAAGACACATTCTACAAAATACCTGACCGGGACTCCTCAAAGCTGTCAAAGTCATCACAAACAAAAAAGATCTTAGAAACTGTCACAGCCAAGAGGAGCCTAAGGAGACATGACAACTAAATGTAACATGACATCTTGACACAGAAGGGGAAAAGGGATAATAGCTTAAAAAATAAGGAAATCTGAATAACATGTTAATAATAAAGTATTGACATTGGCTCATTAATTGTAACAAATATACCATACTGTTAGATGTTAATATTAAGAGAGTCTATGCTTTTTGCTGCTGCTGCTGTCAAGGGTCCAGGTTCAGTCCCTGGTCAGGGAATTAACATCCCACAAGTTTTAAAAAATAATAATAACAATAAAAGAGACTGACTGTGGGGTACATGGGAACTCTTTGCACTATCTACTCAATTTTTTGTAAAGCCAAAGCTGTTCTAGGGCTTCGCTGGTGGTTCAGTGGTAAAGAATCCACCTGCCAATGCAGGAGATGCAGTTTCGATCGCTGGGTCTGGAATATCCCCTGGAGAGAAAATGGCAATTCACTCCAGTATTCTTGCCTGGGAAATCCCATGGACAGAGGATCCTGGTAGGCTACAGTCCAAGGGATTGCAAAAGAGTCAGACACGACTTAGCCACTAAACAACAACAAAGTTGTTCTAAAAAAATAAAGTCTATTTTTTTTTAAAGGAGGAATTTCTTTAAAATGATCATCTCATCACTTTTGTGGACTTTGCAGGTACTTTTGCTGGTGCTCTTAAATAAGACATTCCATGTTGTGGAGGGTCTACTGATTTTAAGCCACTTGGGGGTCTTCTGGGAGACTAGGTTAAAGGTGAAGCTATTTTACCAGTTGCTCAAAGACTCACTCACATCTTAATTTTAATTGTTCTTAGTAGAAACCAAAATATTTGTATCATCTTTTTGAAAGTTTGTCAAATATCATAGTTGATTGATTTCAATTTTGTCTCAACCAACCCTTTCATACTAACTTTATGCTTCATTTTGCAAGTTTAAATTGACTGCTGCCGGATCCATTTAGTTTTATTCCTTGGTCCAAAATAAGCCAATTCATGTTTGGCAGTTCTGCACTTGGTTCCTAAAGCCCAGCTGTTTTTGACCAGGGCTCAGTGACAAGCCAGGAGGGCTTTCTTCAATGGTGTACACTTCTCTGCAGTAGATGGCATGACCTGCGGAGAATTCCAGAGTTCTGCCTTGTGATTCACGAACTGGGGCTTGCCATAAGCTCCATACTGCATCCTTCCGTCCACTGACCCCACCAACACCACAGCGTCGGATGGAGCGGATGGTCCAAGCAGGGCACTGTTTGCTCTGCAAGCAGGACCTGCTTCAGAGCCCTATCTTCACTTACCCTGCCTGATTAGCATGATATCAATATAACAGATCAGTGTAACATCTGTGGGCTGTCCCCATGATCCAGATCTCCTCAGACTAATATTATGAGGGAAAGCAGGAGAGTAAACATAGCCCCAACGTAAAGCTGGATGAATATTACTGTCAGTTCCATGAGAATGAGAACAGTTTCTGATTCTCTCTCTCTTTTTTTTTTTTTGGCCTCAAGGTATGCAGGATCTTAGTTCCCCAACCTGGGATCGAACCTACCTCCTGCAATGGAAGCATGGAGGCTTAACCACTGGACTGCCAGGGAAGTCTCTGATCCTCTTTTCTAAGTGGATGGAAAAGAATGCACTTGCTTAATCAATTTCAGGAAACCATATACCTAGGGCTGCCTGGTGGCTCAGTCAGTAAAGAATCCACCTGCCAATGCAGGAGACCCAGGTTTGATCCCTGTGTTGGGAAGATCCCCTGGAGAAGGGAATGACAACCCGCTCCAGTATTCTTGCTAATTTGCTTTAGCAATGAAACAATTTCAAGCACAGCAATTGTGATCAGGGCTATTACTTGGTTGAGTACACAGTAATCTACAGTCATTCTCCATAATCAATCCAGTTTCTGCAAATATCAGACTGATGAATTAAACAGAGATGTGATAGAGACTGGGCTTCTCTGATGGCTCAGCAAGTAAAGAATCCGCTTGCAATGCAGGAGACACAGGAGATGTGTTTAATTCCTGGGTCGGGAAGATCCCTTGGAGGAGGGCATGGCAATCCACTCCAGTAGTCTTGCCTGGAGAATCCCATAGACAGAGGAGCCTGGTGGGCTATAATCCAAAGGGTCCAAAAGAGCTGGATACAACTGAGCAACTAACACACACCTGTGACAGAGACCGCCACCTCAGCACCCTTTAGAGCCTTCATGGTGGTACCAATCTCTGCCATCCTTCCCTCTCTCCTACACTGTTTCTGGAACACTCCTCAGTCTTCTGCTGTGAGCACCACATGACTCTGGTTTTCCTCACACCTGTCTGGCAAGTTCCTGCAAAGTCTTTGAGTCACCTTCTCCTGTTCAGTTTTTGTTCATTTTTTGCTGTTTGTAGAATAACTAGGTTTTTACTTTGTGTGTGTGTGTTAGTTGCTTAGTTGTGTCCGACTCTTTGCAACCCCATAGACTGCAGCCCACCAGGCCCCTCTGCCCATGGGATTCTCCAGGCAAGAACACTGGAGTGGGTTGCCATTTCCTTCACCAAAAGGAACTATAGAAAGAAAGTGAAGTCGCTCAGTCGTGTCCAACTCTGCGATCCCATGGACTGCAGCCTACCAGCCTCCTCCATCCATGGAATTTTCCAGGAGTACTGGAGTGGGTTGCCATTTCCTTCTCCATTACTTTATTTTAGCTTTAATTAAAAGTATATATTAGGGTTTCCCTGGGGGCCCAGTGGTAAGGAACCGCCTGCCAATGCAGGAGACACAGGTTCTATCCCTGATCCTGGGAGATCCCACATGCTGCGAAACAACTAAGCCCATACACCACGACTACCGAGCCCGTGGCATACGGGATCTTAGCTCCTCGACCAGGGATCGAACCTGCGTCCGGTGAGGAATTGTGGCGTCTTAACAAGCGGACCACCAGGGAGGGCCCTAAATGGTCACTTAACATATACAGAACACGAGTTTTGTAGCTCTGTCTGCTTGGCCTTTCGTCATTTTTCAACGCTCTGCTAAGGCTCAGAAAGTATAAGCGGCCTCTCGAATCTCTCCACCTGTGTGAGGAAAAAAGTCGGCTTGTACTCTACGTACCCCTAACAGCCAATGGACACCAGGCAAAGCCAATGGCCAATAGCGAAGAAAGAGCAGCCTCATTTACCGCCCAGAAGGCCTCTCAGACAACCGAGACTAATTCCGACGACGCCCAACAACCGTTACCATAACAACGTAACCCGCGCCCTCACCAAAGAACGCGGTTCCCCTCTGCATCCCAGAAGGCGCTGCGCCGCCTCTCAGCCTTCCGCCCCCTTCCATCCCAAAATGCAACGGGGCTCAATACGTCACGTGCCTGTCATCAGGATGATTATAAAAATGCCCGAATATCCGCCTTTGCCTAAACATTAAAAATGTCTGTAAGAGGCTCATAGACGGGAAAGAGCCCGAAAGATCAGTCTTAGAGATTTTTCTCAGACGGTTTAGTTATAAATCTCGAGGAGAAATGTCCCATCTTTCCCTAGATTTTCTCAGGCACCTCATTGGGCAGCTCGCGCAGGCCGGCGGCGTGGGGGCCTCGGGGTCCTACTCGGGGCACATGTGGAAGGAAGCGGCGGTGTCTGTCCGCGCGGCGCCTGCAGACCATCCAGCGTGGAACCATGGGAGGCCTGGAGAAGAAGAAGGTGATGGGCGAGAGGCCGGGGCAGGGGGCTGGGGCTGCCCAGGAGGTGGGAGACGGGAGCGATGGAGCCTGGGGATTCCCCGGCCTTGGACCCTCGTGGGTGCAGAAGCGGCTGGGATCAACACGACGGGAGACAGCAGCTAGAAGGGATCAAATGATGGGCCGGGACGGCAGTACTCGCTGTGAAATCTGAAAAAGAAACCTGGGGTAGACCTGTGAAAGAGTTGAGGTTACCAGGCAAATCTCCACCCCAAAACAGGCCGAGCTTGAGGACAACTCATTACTGAAAGTGATGAGCCTAATGTAGAGCTCACCATTTTGTCGAGTTCATCGTCTCTAAGACTAGTGGCTCCCTTTTCTGTTGAATCAGGCCTTGTTCTAGACATTGGGGATGGAGACATAAACAACCAGATGTGGTCTCTGCATTCCGAGAGCTGTTTCTTGTGGGGAAGTTGGACACTAAAGTAAACAACCAAATAAAATGGTCACAAAAACAAGCCTGGCAGGGGGGAATCTAAGTGCCAAGGTCCTTAGGTGGAAAGGGCTTATTGTGTGCAAGAAATCAAATGATATCAGGATGGCTGGGGAATAAGTTAAACCAAGGGAAGAGTGGCATCTAGTGAAGTTGGGGTTGGACAGGGACTGGGTCATGCAAGGGTGTCAGACACAAGAAACTGGATTTTATTCAAAGTGCAGTAAGAATCAACTAAAGAGAGAGAACGTGATTCATCTTTCAAGGAGTTGTTCTTGTCGCTGTAGGGAGAATCGTCTTGGTGGTAGGAAGAGGTTAGAGAGGGGCTGAGGAAGATATAGTTGCCTCAATTGTTTCTTTCAACTCGAAAGTTTCTACTGCTGATTTGTTGTTGTTTGTTTGACCTGGTCTCAGTTGCAGCTTGAGGAATCATCTTTATAGGATGTCGTATCTTTAGTTGCAGCATGTGAACTCTTAGTTACATGTGGGATCTAGTCCCCTGACCAGGGATCAAACCTGGGCCCCCTGCGTTGGGAGCGTGGAGCCTTAACCACTGAACCACCCAGGCAGGTCCTGACTGCCAATTTTTTTGTAAACCCAGCTGGCTATTGAGTACCCAGAAAGTGCTCACAATTGAAGCTATAAAGATAGAGGATAGCAAACCTGAGCTTGAGACACAGATGCAGACATGTCAGTGGATCGTGACAGTTTTAAAGCTGAGTTTCACAACTGTTTTGACTTTTTGAGCCAGATAACTATCATGGGGAGGGTTATGCTGTGTGTTTGTAGGATGTTTAGCAGCGTTCCTGACCTCTTACCTGCTAGGTGCCAGTAACACCTAACAGCCCCAGATGCAGAATCCATCCCCTGTACACCCGGGGAGAAAAGTCATCCCAGTTATCTTTATCTCCTTAAGATTTGAAAGGATAAGAATGGTGACAGTGTGGCATAGGGCAGTGGAAAACAGTTTTAACAAAAGCAGAAAGTCATCTTTGTGTCCCCAGGATTTGGCATGGGCCTGATCCCCAGTAGATGGGTAATAAATGTCTGAAGGTTACGAGTGAAGGCGGGGCATGTTTTGTGACTGTGGGGTTGTTCATAACATACCCTCAGGAGGTTACGGGTTTATCCCTTTGGAGCCGGACCTGCCCATAGAGGCCTTTGCTGTCTTACTCCAGCGGGAGACCTAGCTGGGGAAGGAAGTGCTTGGTTACATTGCAGGGAGCTGGTTCAGTGTGCTGCTGCCCGATCGGGATTCAGAGCTGTGATTGTGAGGCAGCATCCGGCGCTGCACACATCCAGGTGGTTGCACAAGACCACTTGGTCTTCAGGGGCAGGTAGAGAACAGGTCTTTTGTCTTTTATTTCCCTCCTAGCATCTAGCTAAATGAACACTTGGAACATAGTAGAGGTTTTGTGATTGTTTGCTGAATGAATGAATGAGGGGAAGGAGAGAGGCTGTGTGGCTTAGAGTGTGCATTTTCAACCAGACAGTGTCATCTCCAACAGAACAGGAATTGGTTGGGGGACATGGTAGATATTACAATGATGTGTGTCCCTCTAAAGGACCACATTACATAAAGAGAGCTCTAGTATATCTATGGTGTTAACATTTTGGGAGGCTGTGAGAGAGGGTGATGAAACGGGAGAAGAGGTCTAACAAGGCCTCCAGTGGTGGAAAGGGTGGTTATAATGAAAAAGAAGTTGAGAACCCTGGCTTAGTGGATGAGGCACTCAGGCTCTGGGCTTGGACCTAGGTCTGAATGCAGCCCCAGCTCTTAGAAAGCTGTGTGACCCCGGCGGGTTATTTTTCTGAGCCTGTTTTCCCCCCTTGTGAAATGAGACTTTTAATGGCACCCACCTCACAGTGTTGTGGGGATTAAATGAAGTAACATGTACAAATCAGTAATCATCATGGTCGATACTTAGAGCTACTGCTAAGGGCTTGGCATAGCACCTGATCCACAGCAACCTCACAGTGCCCGCATCGCACAGATGTGTGTGTCCTCCGTGTTGACTGCTGTGAAGACGGTGCAGGCACGCTTCCTCCCCACGGCCTCTTGGCCATGAATCCACAGCAGTGGTCACCTTTTGCATGAGCAATGTCCAGAAATGGGTGTCCGTCGCTGCAGCCATTGCTAATGGAGAATTGATTTTCCTCCCCAAGTACGAACGAGGTTCTGCCACCAACTACATCACCCGAAACAAAGCCCGGAAGAAGCTGCAGTTGAGCCTGGCCGACTTCAGGTGAGCAGTAAGATCGCTCTGCCTTCTTATCATTTAAGTGTTCACTGGAGTAGCTCTTCGAATTTCCCTCAAGGGCTTTTCTTTTGCATTCACAATTTGAGTGACTATGTGTAAGAAGCCTAGCTTTCAACCTGTCTCAGGTTTCAACACCCCTTTCTCCCTTAGCTTAGTCATATCTAGCTTTTGATTTAAAGTGAGAGACCTGGGATTCTTCCTTCCACTGAAACACTTAGAGGCCATTGTAGGGTTATTTATTGACCTAATATCAATGCTGTGTCTCAGGGAGTAAGGAGATCTGGGGAGAGGGAGAGAGACTGGGCAGTAGCCAGTCGGGTGGAGCAGTCAGAATACACAGCATTTATTGATTAAGTTAATCATCTTAGACCAGTGTGATGTGTGGTGCCCTAAAGTTGATTGTAACAGCATCATCATAGATCACTAATCACAGATCACCATAGCAAATATAATAATGAGGAAAAAGTTTGAAATATTGTGAGAATTAGCGGAATGTTTCATAGTCATGAAGTGAGCAGATGTTGGCTCTGATAGACTTGCTGAGTGCAGGGTTGCTCAAACCTCCAGTTTGTTAAAAAAAAAAAGCTAAGCTATATATGTGAAGTGCAGTAAATGAAATGCAGTAAAACAAGGCATACCTGTATGTGGCTGAAACACTGATTTCTCAGCAAGGCCTTTCCTGACTCCCCTTGCTAAAAGAGGTACCTGCAGTTGGCCTCTGTTGATATTCCTACTAGTCTCCTTTCTGGTGCTTGGGACATCTTGCATTTATTTTTCAGGAACTTGTGATGGTCAGGCTCCTACCTGAGGATGTGAGCTTTCCCAAGGGCAGGGCTCCTGTGGTCTCGGTTCTCTGGGGTTTTTCAGGCCCAGCATGGCCAGTGCTCAGCACATTTGCTGATAGAAGGAATGGCATTTGTCTTCCAGGCGGCTGTGCATCCTGAAAGGCATTTATCCCCATGAACCCAAACACAAGAAGAAGGTTAACAAGGGCTCCACGGCGGCCCGCACCTTTTACCTCATCAAAGATATCAAGTTCCTCCTCCATGAACCCATCGTCAACAAGTTCCGGGAGTACAAGGTGAGGCCCGGCTCCGGGGCCTGCAGGGGGCCCTACCCAGCTCTATGGAGACCCGCTAACACTGATCTCAAGCAGGTTGTTTGACCTCTGGGAGCAAGTCTCTACAAAGGGTAAGGTAATTCTGCCTTCAAATTGTGTTGGGGGAATTGACTGAGCTCTTTCTGTGTGGAAATCATTTACACAGAACCTGGCCAGTGATTAACACTTTACTTGTCATACCTTTCCCCTAGTTCTTTGGGGGAAAAGTAAATTAATTGCCTGTGAGGCAAAGATTGTAGTCTTTTGGGGTCTCTCTGGTATATTTTCTGCCCAAAGAAACCCATCTGATTCCGGTTCTTTCTGAAATCGCTCCCAGGAGATCAGGCTTTTCATTCCGCAAATAGAAACCATTAAAATGCTTAAATAACACAGGGAAAGTAGAGATCTAATTACCCCAAACGCAAATAATTGGAAGTAGACTGCTGGTACTGTAGCTTTTGCCAAGTGACAGGGCCAGGCAGAGGGGTGCAGCTGCTGGTGGCCCTCTCCCCAGAGCCCACCGGGGTGCATCTGGGGTTTGCGGCCTCCTTAGTTCACGACACTGCGCCCCTCGTGGGGCTGGTCACTGCTCACAACCACAGCGGAGGGGGCCTCCGAGCATCTGGGGAGCAGAGGACAGGCCCACCCTGACGTGCTCGGAGGGCGGCAGCTGGTCAGTTAAAAGGATTTCCGGGGCCACCATTGACCTCAACCGTGTTTTCTCCTGTGGCCCAGCCCCATACGTGGGCCCAAGACTCGTTTTGACGGACACACAGGCTGGTGTTTCTGGCCTAACCTCCTGGCCCTGACCTGCCTCACTTCTCAGTTGGAAAATAGGGCTGAAAACGTTAAACTTCCATGTCAGCACGTCTGAGTGCTTATCGCCGTTCACCCGTCCACAGTGTGGTGCGCTGGGTTGGGTTTACTGCTCCATGGAGGTGGCCAAGGGGGCAGATGGTGCCATCAAACAGCCGTGGTCGGCTTCTGGAGGCCTCGGGAGTCCCCTCAAAGCTGAGCATCCCTCCCACACAGAAGGGGTGCCCAGGATCCCCTGGCCCCACATCAGCGGTCTCCTCCTCCTCCCCCAGGTATTCGTCCGGAAGCTGCGGAAGGCCTATGGGAAGAGTGAGTGGAACACGGTGGAGCGTCTAAAGGACAACAAGCCCAACTATAAGCTTGACCACATCGTCAAGGAGCGGTGAGCTCGGGGCTGTGATCTGGCGCTGGGGGTACAGTGGGGAACATGGCCAAGACCCCACCACAGAGCCGGCCTCCTCTTGAAGTAAGCAGACCAGGAAACAACTCCATGTTGTTCTAATGGTTACAAGTACACCAAATGCCATGAGGGATGCTCTCCACGAAGGGAACTGGAGGACACACGTGAGTTACAGGCTGGTCAGAGGTGTCTGAGGGCAGACCTTTGAGACAGCCAGGGGAAGTGTAGTTCAGGAAGAGCAAACAGCGAGTGCAAAGGCCCTGTGGTGAGAGAGAGCCAGAGTCTGGGGGTGCACGGCCTTGCATGGTCAGTTCTGTGTGGCTGGACACCTGACATCAGCCGTTTCTTGCCCATCCTTCTCCACAGTCCCCCTCCATCACTGACTAAATCAGGGGACGCTTGGTAGTGTCTGGAGACACTTCTGGTTCCCGTCACTAGGATGGCAGAGGGGTCTCGTAGTATTTAGGGGCCACAGATGCTGCCCAGCCCCCTATGCACACAGCACAGCCCCCACCACCCAGAACAGCCTGGCCCAAAGTGGCGGTAGTGGTGAGATTCAGAAACCCGGGGCTCCCTGCACGCCTGTCTTTCTCTTGGGGACTGCTTGCCTGGGAGTGCTCAGCTCCGGCCTGGATGGACTTGGTCTAGTCAGCCGGGCCAGCCAGCTGAGCAACAGCCCCGACCTGGGAGCTCCACGGCAAGCGTTCTCACCCCCAGCCCTGCAGCCGCAAGGTGGGCGGCCCAAGAGAGGGCCTGCTCTGAGCGGGTCCTCCGCTAACAGAGCTGGCGAGTGTGACACGGCTGTCCTGTGGAAGGAATGAAAAAAAAAAAAAGGTGCACAAGAAAAAAGCAAGTGTCTGGATTCATGCACACACCATGTGGCAGTATGATGGCGCTCCCGCTCTGCGTCGCCCACTCTCAGCCGTTGCTCAAGAATGAATGGCCGCTGGTGCTTCTAGGAAGGGCTCGGTGGTTGGGGTGATCTGTGAGGTGGAGAGGAGACGTGGAAACATCTGAGGGGCTGACTGAGGCTCGGGCCCCTGAACCCGGAAGCCTAGTGCCCTCCTGTTGTCTCGCGAGAGGCCCCCGCAGGCCTTTCTTCTGTCTCCCGCTGTGTCTGAGGACCCGGCCTCCCCTCCCGACCCTTAGAGCTAAGCGGGCTCGTCCTAGTTCCGCAGAGCCTCCCAAGGCCACGGGGAAGCTGGTGCTGCCAGGCCCCCGGGGGTGTGGCCCAGCTCCCTGTCCAGGAGATGGTGGTGGCCAGGCCGGGCCTGGCGCGGGGAACGGGGCCTCTGGGGTGGCTGACGGGTGGGAGCAGCGGGGTCGGAGGCTCGCAGGAGACCAGGCGGAGCGGCCGTGTGAGCGCCGCCCCACTGGCTGCGCAGGTACCCCACGTTCATCGACGCGCTGCGGGACTTGGACGACGCCCTGTCCATGTGCTTCCTCTTCTCCACCTTCCCGCGCACCGGCAAGTGCCACGTGCACACCATCCAGCTCTGCCGCCGGCTGGCCGTGGAGTTCATGCACTACGTCATCGCCGCCCGCGCCCTGCGCAAGGTGAGCCCGGGCTCCGGCGGGGCCCCACCCCCCGCCCCCAGCAGTGGGGCCTCACACGCCTGCCGCTCCTCCTCCTCAGGTCTTCCTGTCCATCAAAGGCATCTACTACCAGGCCGAGGTGCTGGGCCAGCCGATCGTGTGGATCACGCCCTACACCTTCTCCCACGACGTGAGTGTTTCCCCGGGGAGGGGCTTGTGCGGGGCCGTGGCTCCCTCTCCGGTTCTTAGCCGGAGATGAGGGGGTGGGCGGAGAGGGGATCGTCCTGTCTTGCAGAACCAGCTGGGGTCCTGAGTGCCGGCCGGGTGTGACGACGGTGGGGGGAGTGTGTGGTAACAGGAGCCTGAGCCAGCCTGGCTGCCGTACCTGCTGGCTGGTTGGCCTCGGACAGGTTCCCCTACCTCGTGCGTTTAATAAGGGGCCTGCACTTCCGAGCCTTTGTCCTGAGGGTTTGAGGGAGAAGAGCTTTCCCAGTGCCCAGTGCTCAGGGGTCGCGGAAAGAAGAGTGAGCAGCGGCCGGGAGGAGCACGCCTGTGTGCACAGCCTTACGCAGAGCCCAGCCTGCCTCCGACCCGCTGGGTCCTCACCCGGCTTTCTCTGTCTTTTTAGACTGTGGGAGTTTGGGGCAGGATCCATGAAGAGAAATGCTGACTTGGCCTCCAGATGGGGGTTGTCAGCCCCACAGGGTCACAGCTGATTTCTCTGGTGGGCCCACGTCGGCCCCGCTTCATGCTTACACCCTGAGCGGAAACTGCTGCCTTCAGCAGAGACCTGGCTAGGTGGTGGGTTCGCTGCCCAGGGAGCGGGTGCTCCAGCGTGAGCGCATAGTCGGGCTCCGCTGGGCCCCTCCCTACTCCTTACTCTGGGCTAGGTTGGGGAGCCGCGGGCCGGAAGCCCTCTGAGGCCTAGCAGTGGGGATTGGTGGCAGCCTCTGTGGGTGAGAGGTGCTTGGCCCCCAGCAGCCCCTGTGTCTGCTCCAGGGGCCGGCGTGTGCGAGTCCGTGCTCTTCTCTGTTTATTCCCTGCCCCGTCCCTCCTCTCCCCGTCCTTCCTGCCCGCCTGCCCTCCTTCTCCAGCCCTCCCTCTCCTTCCTGCTCTCTGATGTCCCACCCCCGCACTGCTCAGACTGGCCTTTGTCTGTCCCGCTGGGGTGAATAGGGCCCTATGGTGGCTGGCCTCCACACAGCTGGCCCTGGAGGCGCGGGGGAGGGCACGGGCCGCCCCTTTCTCCTTCCTCTGACCAGCGCACTGCCGCTGCGTCCTCTCAGCAGGAGGATGGGGGACCCGGGCTGGGTCAGAGCTGGGGCCCTCATGTGCCCCCTTCTCCCCCCGCTCCACCCCTGCACAGCCAGTGCTGGGCTCCCAGCAGCAGGACCCAGGCAGGTAGTGGGGTTCACCGCGCTGCTGGGCCGTGGGGAAGTCGCTGCTCACGTGCCCCCAGGCCTCTGGAAGAACCGAGGTATCAACGGGGGGGACAGGTGGGACTGTGCTGTTTTTGCCCAGGCAGGCAGGATTTCTCAAGAGCACCCTAAAGCTGGGCCAGGTGGCTGCCCACCCCGTCCTGGGTCCTCGGGCTGTGCCTTTGTCTCTGGTTTGGGCCTGAGGCAGGGTTGGATTCTGAGTATTGGTCCCAAAGGTCCCGCCAGGGCTCGTGGGTGCAGTGTGCCCTCTGCCCACTGCCCCAGCTGTCCCCATCCAGGCAGGTGGGCTGTTCCAGGGCCACCTCGCCCATCCGGGCCCCCAGGTCCTCGTGGGCTAGCCCCAGAGGAGACAGTAAATGAAAATTGTGAGCTGGGCGGTGGAGCAGGAGTGAGCAGCCTCTGCAGGGATGGAAGTCTCATCTGCAGAGTGAGGGGGTGGTGGGCATCAGCCAGTCCTGGGCACCTCAAGGCAAAGGTTTCCCTTTCTCATCACTAGCGGGGATCCGGCTCTAGTCTCCAGGATAGCCCTTGGGACCTTTGTCCAGAGCCTGACTGGTGCCCAGGATGCTCCTGGGTGGGGACCCCCTGGACTCTGCCCAAGGGGCCGAGCTCTGAAGGCAGGGAGGCCCCGAGGGCCCTCCTGGTCCTCAGGCAGCCAGCCCCCCCCCCCGCCCCGGGTGGCTGTCCATGTGCTCCCTGCACTGACGCTGCCTCCACGCCTGCTGTATCCGCAGCATCCAACAGACGTGGACTACAGGGTCATGGCCACGTTTACCGAGTTCTACACCACCTTGCTGGGCTTCGTCAACTTCCGCCTCTACCAGTCTCTCAACCTGCACTACCCGCCCAAGGTAGGCCCTGCCCTCGCCTTCTCCCCACCGGGTGGGGGCACGGCCTCTGCCCGCAGGGAGGTGGGGGCTGGGGCCTCCCCTTCCTCTGACCGACCCCTCCTCGCCTCCAGCTCGAGAGTCAGGTCCACACAGAAGCGAAGACCAGCGAGGACACCTACGCGCTGGACTCGGAGAGCTCTCTGGAGGTGAGAGGGGCTTCCAGCGCCGGCCCTGCATCCCCCAGAACCCAAACCCACTGAGAGCTGTCCCAGAGCGACCAATGCTCCCCCTCCCCCGCCTGCAAGCAGCGTCTCTACGGCCCTGCTTCTTTCCGCAGAAACTGGCCGCCCTCAGTGCCAGTCTGGCCCGTGTGGTGGTGCCCACGGAGGAGGAAGCCGAGGTGGACGAGTTTCCTGCTGATGGGGTGAGCACTGCGCGGCCTTCTGGAGGCGGGCCTGCAGGCCTGAGGGGTGTAGGAGGAAGCTGGGGAGGGGCTGGTCTCCAGCTTCTGCCTCCCGTGGGGGTGTGGGCGGGCCCGACAGTGTGAGCGGCCCCTCCTCCCGGCAGGAGATGGCGGCGCAGGAGGAGGACCGCAGGAAGGAGCTGGAGGCGCAGGAAAAGCACAAGAAGCTCTTCGAGGGCCTGAAGTTCTTCCTGAACCGCGAAGTGCCCCGCGAGGCCCTGGCCTTCGTCATCAGGTGGGGGCCTGACCGCACCGGCCGGGTCCCGCCCTGGACCAGGGACCCTGGGGGAGGGAACAGGTGTGTCCTAGGAGGGTGAGCTTGTGCCTGAGGACCCTCATGGGCTCCCCCTGTGCCTGTAGGAGTTTTGGGGGGATCGTGTCCTGGGACAAATCTCTGTGCATTGGGGCCACCTATGACGTCACAGACCCCGGCATCACCCACCAGATTGTCGACCGGCCTGGGCAGCAGACCCCGGTCATCGGGAGGTAGGCCCCCGAAAACCTCTTCTTCCTCCGCGTGTTTTTGGTTTCTGGGAGCAGAGGTCTGTGTCCAGGGTCCTGCAGATGCAGCCAGGTCCTCGGGGGGGCCCCGTGACTCTCTCCGCTCCCACCCTGTGCCAGGTACTACGTGCAGCCCCAGTGGGTGTTTGACTCGGTGAATGCCCGGCTCCTCCTCCCCGTGGCGGACTACTTCCCGGGGGTGCAGCTGCCCCCACACCTCTCGCCCTTCGTGACAGAGAAGGAAGGCGACTATGTGCCCCCGGAGAAACTGAAGCTCCTGGCCCTGCAGCGGGGCGAGCACCCAGGTGCGTGGAGGAAGCTGGACCGGGCGGGCTGGGCATGCTCCTCCAGGCCGGCCTCGGCTCCCGGGGCTCAGCTGGCTGCTTCCCTGATTGCCTACGGGGCACGTTCCAGAGAACTGGGCAGTCGGTGGGGACACAAAGCCCTGTACATCCTCCCTGGAGTAACACGGCTTAGGAGGAGGAAATGTTTGTGTCCTGGACTCTCGTGTCACTTGATGTCCAGGATAACTGAGCAGAATGGTCTGGAAGTTTCCGTGGGAGGCAGCAGAACTGAGGGGTGGGGAGCCTGGAGTTGGTACTGAAGGCGGCTGGGCCCAGGGGGAGGTGCTGGGGGGCCGTGGCTGAGCCAGCCCTGCTCTGCCCCTAGAATGTCCGCTGCTGGTTCTCACACCGCAAGGGGAAGGGCAGACCCCCAGGGTGCAGAATTCTTGGTTCTTTGTAGGAAACTTGAATGAATCTGAGGAGGAGGACGAGGAGGAAGACGACGAAGGTGATGACGAGGAAGAGGGAGAAAAAGAGGAGGAGGAGGAGGAAGACATGGAGGCTGATTCGGAGAAGGAGGAAGATGCTCGGCTGACCGCCCTGGAGGAGCAGAGGCTGGAGGGGAAGACGGAGGCCCGACTGACCGTCCCGGAGGAGCCGAGGCTGGAGGGGAAGGTAGCGGGGAGTGGACCAAGGTCTCATCCTGGGAAGCAGCCCACCACAGCCGTCTTGGTGCCAGACGGGCGTGAGCCAGAGGGGGCTGGAGGTGGAGGGTGGCGTCAGCCTGTCCCCAGCTGCATCCTCCCTGTGTCCCCAGAAGCCCAGGGTGATGGCTGGCACCGTGAAGCTGGAGGACAAGCAGCGGCTGGCCCAGGAGGAGGAGAGCGAGGCCAAGCGCCTGGCCATCATGATGATGAAGAAGCGGGAGAAGTACCTCTACAACAAGATCATGTTCGGCAAGAGGCGCAAAATCCGCGAGGTGAGTCTCCCCGCCCCCCGCCCCCTACCCCCTCCACCTGAGGTTCAGATGGGGCCTCACAGCTGAGCTTCCAGGCCTGTCGGCTCTCCTGGGCGGACTCCGGGCCAAAGAAGAGTTTAAGACAGTACTGTGTACAGCAGAAGTTGAGTGGATGGGAAGGTGGCTCACCCCTGATTGCCCTTGAGGTGGTCTGGAGTGACAGCCCCCCAGTTCTCTTCTGTGCATGCAGTAACACGGGTCGTCTTGGAGGGGTGTCGTGCTGTACAGCCTGGAGGGAGGGCATGGCAGCCCACTCCAGTGCTCTTGCCCGGAGAAGCTCATGGGCAGAGGAGCCTGGTGGGCTACAGTCCATGGGGTCACTGAGAGCTGGACACGACTGAAGTGACTCAGCACGCATGCACGTGCTACACATACAGCACTTGGCTTTATTGCGCTTCACAGATGCAGTGTTTGTTAAAAACTGAAGGTTTGTGGCAGCTCTATGTGGAGCAAGTCTGTTTAGCACCATTTCCCCAGTATTTTCTCATTTCATGTGTCTGTCACCAGTGACATTGGTAATTCTCACAATATTTCGGACTTTTTCATTAGGATTATTTGTTGTAGTAATGTAGTGATCAGTGTTCTTTGATGTTACCATCACTAAAAAAACCCATCACTGAAAAAGACTACCGTTCATTGAAGGCTCAGGTAGTGGTTAGTATTTTGTTAGCAGTGAAGTCTTTTATAATGAATGTGTATGGATAGTGTTTGTAGACATGATGCTACTACACACTATTTAATAGACAACAGCATAGCATAAACAGAACTTTTTTGTGCACTGGGAAACCAAAAAGTTTTTGGGACTCTCTTTATTGTAATGCTTGCTTTTTTGGGGTGGTGGGTGGACTCAAACCCACAATATCTCCAGGGTCTGCCTAAAAATCATTCTGCTGTGTTTGTCATTAGTGTGAGCTGGTCATGGCCTCGTACAGTGCCTGCTGTATGTCATACAGCCCCTGCTGACAGGATTAGACTGTCTCCCTTTTCTAGTCATTCTCAGAAAACACTCTCAAACCCCTCTCTGCCTTCCTTCCAAGTATCTCTCTGCAGGGTAAATTCTTAGGCGTGTAATTGCCAGGTGGAAAGGCCTGCCTGTTTTGGAAATAGATCATGCCGGATGGCCTAGGCGAAAGGTCGGCCTACTCCAGGCCGACCCCTCCAGCAGCTCCTGGTGAAGGTTTGAAAGGCCCCAGCTTTCCCAGGCGAAGCGGGTCAGTGGGGCAGTGGCTGCAGCCCTGGGCACCTGCGGTGCTCCTGACTTGCCGGTGGCCCGTGAAGTAGCAGTGTCATGAGGCAGAGTGAAGACCCGGTTCCTCACCCGAGGCTCTTCAGATCGATTTCCTTTTTCCCCGTGGCGATTTGCCAGTTAGTTTTCCTGGAAGCTCTGCTTTTAAGGGGGGAGTTCCCTTCCCTCCCTCCTCCCGCCCATCACAGATTAATCCTCCTCGCAGGCCAACAAACTGGCGGAGAAGCGGAAAGCCCATGACGAAGCTGTGAGATCGGAGAAGAAGGCCAAGAAGGTGCGGGCGCTGTGAGTGGCAGCAGCTTCTCATCAGGCGAGGCCAGCTCACGGCAGCAGGACTGGGCAGGCACCGGAGGGCCTGGGCGTGGTGACGGACCTGGACCCTTTGTGTTAGCCCTTCTACCCCTCTGCCGGCCCTGGCCTCCACTAATACTCGCTGGCTGGGCCCAAGGGCAGCCCTGGCCTCCCTTGGATGGAGTTCTCTGCGGTGGCTGCACAGAGGACAGGCTTCTGCCTGGCCAGACATCAGTCTCCCAGGAGCCAAGTGACATGGGATGTGGGGGGGGGGGGGGGCGACCTGCCCCTCCCTGACTGTCCCATTCACCCTGGCTTTCCACACCCTGTCCCCCACACTCAGTTGGCCCCATGTGTGATGGGCAGAGGGTGGGGAAGCATTTGTTAATAAACAGCTGGAGTTTTGCAGCCAACTGAATCCTGTGTCACAAGCTTCCCTGGGGTTGGAGAAGGGCCACCTCGTACCCTGTGCTCCAGCCCTTGGTTCTCACTGAGAGGGGCTGGACACTGCCCAGACCCCTCTGGATGTCCGTGGACCCCACATTCCAGCCTGGAGACCTTTCCTCTGTGAACATGCTTCCTCACGTGTGAGCTGAGAGTAGAAATTCTGGTGCCTTTGTCCCAGGCATGGGTGGTGGGTTCAGTGATTAGAGACTCACTAGTACCAGGTGTCTGGTAGGCAAATTGCTCAGCGAACAGCCAGCATGACTCATTTCCTGCTGCAGTCTGCCCAGGAGGTGAAAGCCAGTGTCTTAAGCATCTGTGGGGCCTGAGTGGAGGGACCACGGCTTTACCTGGCGGGCTTGTGGGCAGAGCTGTCGGGGACCCCCAGTGTGGCTCTGCCAGCAGCCTGGCTTGTGACCTGGGCCGGGCCGTCCATACAGCTTCCCCTTGACTCTGGCAGTGCCCCCATCTGGACTGCCGGTGCCTCGTGGCCGAGCCAGGGCCAAAATCAGGGGCATGGGATGGTCACTCAGTCCCTCCCAGGTCAGGCAGGGAGATTGAACCACCGCCTGCCCCAGCCCCGCTGTCTACTGTGGGCTGTGTGCTGTCAGGAGCAGGGCCAGGGTGGGGAAGTGTGAGTTTGGAACTGGGCTTCTCCTTGCCCAAATCCAGGTGCCTGAGGGCCTTGGCCTTGCGCCCTTCACTCTGTAGAAGCACCCGGACTCTACAGAAGTCTTCAGGGCAGTGTCTTCACCCCCAGCCTGTGCAGGGGGAGGCAGGAGCTTGGGGAGACTCTCTGGCTGAGGCTGTGGAGAAGCCTGGGCTTCTGGGCCTCGCTGTGGGTGTCCACTGACATGCTTCATGGGGAAGGGGGGGTTTTCTACCGTCAGGGCTTCTGGAACCAAAGTCTGCAGCCCGAGGGAATACCTTGAGCGTGCTTGGGTGCGTGTGCACCCCAGCGCCGTGGAGGCTGGAGAACGGCGAGCCCATCAGATACGGAAAAGTTCCTGGCAGTCATGCTGATGTGGAATTTTCCCCATTCCAGAGTCGCCCAGTAATGGCGGGGGCAGTGGGGCTCTGACGGGCTTATGCCTCACTGGGTGACCGGCTGGTTTCACACTGCCCACAGCTGGAGCTGAGCATTCCCAGTTCTAGGCAGGCATTAGTCCCCTTCCTTGGACCTGATCCTCTGGGGTGAAGGAGGGAAGCCTAGGACTGAGAAAAGTCAGGTCCTGAATGGGGTGCCCGCATCCTGACGCACTGTGCCCTGCCCCATACCTTGGAGAGGTGGGGTCAGCCCCTACTCCTCTCATTCACGTTTCAGATGCCAGAAAAAAAGAGTCCCAGTTTGCACTCCGCAGCCAGAGGCCATGTCTTCCATTGAAGTTAAGCAACTAGAGTAGCTGCCGCCTCCTCCCCAGAGCTGGGCTGCTCTCACCATCACCACGCCACCCCGTTCCCCAGGCACCCTCGAATCCCCTCCGGGGCCGGGAGCTCGGCCGAGCTTCAGGGTCCGGCGGCGGGACAATGGCCCCGTTGGCTCATCCGAGACAAACGCGCCTTGTTGGGCCCGCGGCGGGGGCGCGACGCTACGACCCGGCGCGCTGAATGCGGCTTCTGTGCGCCCCGGGCGGGCGCGGGGGGCCGGGGAGGGGGCTGGGGCCCGGGGCACCCATTGGCCGCGGCGCCGGGGGGAGGAGGGGGGCCGGGCCAGGCTGGCGGCCGCACCTGGCCGGAAAGGGTGCGGCGGCGGCGGCGGCGGCGGCGGCGGCGGCGGCGAGGGCGGGAGCATGGTCCAAGCCCGGCCGAGCGGGGGGACCCGGCGGGTACGCCCCGCCGCCTTAGTAAGCGCCCGGGCGGCGCGGCCCGTGGCCGAACCTGCACGCCAAACCCCAGAAGGACCGGGACAAGGTATGTCCTGGGGGCCCGGCACCCACCAGCAGCTTGCGCCCTGCCTCAGTCTACCCCCTGGAGGCCCGGCCCGCGCTGCTCCACGCCCCGGGACTGGGACTACGCACGCCAGACTCTAGACCCGAGAGGTACTCTACCGCTCCAGGGTCCGTGCGCCCATCCCGGCTGACAGAGGGTGGGAAAACTGGAGCCTGATGGGGAGCAGGTTGGTGCTCACCCGGCCCTTGTTTCTCCCCCGGCTCCTGTTTCCAGGGTTTACCCAGTTCCTGACTTGGGGTGGATGGGGCGGGAGCTGGGCTGGAGCTGGGTGTTCATTAATCATTAATCTTGGACACGGTGCCAGAGCCCTGGGGAGGAGGGGCGGGGATGTTCCCTCTTCCCACCAGCCCTCCCCAGAAGAGGGGCGGTCAGAGAGGGGCTGGGCGTCAGGATAAAGGCTGGATCCCCCCTGCCTGGGGAAGGCCTGTCCTCTACCACTTAGCGGACAAGGCTGCCCAGGAAAGACTTGGGGGAGTGGGGACAATCTCTGGGGTCTGGGAAGGGTCCCCTAGCTAGCCCAGCAATTCCCATGTTTCCTGGACCAGTGCTCGGAAAGGGATCCAGCTTGGTCTGCCCGCCTTGGTACCAAGCCAGTGCTTTGGTAACAGCACAGAGAAAGGCTGTGGTCCCTTCCCGATGGGGACCCCCTCCCACCTACACAGAGCAGAAGAGGTAATGGGCACACATCTGGCTGCAGTAACCCAGGGCAGTGGGAGGGAAGGCGAAACGGCGGCAGGCCCGACACCTGATCACCTGGGTTGCCCAGGTGACAGGCGCCATGGAAATCCTCAGGAGGATGGTCCAGATGGGGGAACCCAACCTCTTCCTTTACGAGGAGGGTGACTGACCTAAGGCCCAGAGAGAGCAAGGCCATGGGCAGGGCTGAGCCCAACCAGCCGTTGTGCGGCTGCACTGTACCTTACCCCTTGGAGGAGCCATCATTACTAACCCTGTGATCCCAGCGGGGACACTGAACTTCAGGGAGATTCCGGGGACTTGCTCAGGGTCACATAGTTCAGATGTGGCTAAACGGACTCCACATTCAGAGACGTGCCCGAGCCCCTGTTTCAGGACCACAGGCTTGCTCAAGATCTCTCTCTTCTCTGCCCTTTTTTGGGGTCCTAGCCTCTTCGAGCTGCCATGGCTGCCCCCGGCCCCCAGCTCAGGACCCCTCCCCTGCGTGCCCCCCTAGCTCCCAGCTCTGCCTGACACTCAGGGGGTGGGCAGGCTGCTACCCTGGGAACAGACAACAGAGCCCTGTTCCCAGCTGCCTCCTCGGGCCGCTTCCTCCCCGCTTCTCACACTGGCAGAGCCCTGCCTGAAGGAAGTGCCCTGCGGACAAAGAAGCGTGCCCGCCTCTGGTGCACCCCTCGTCTGATGGGCGGGGGTCTGATATTGGACGGCGTGGGTCCAATCCAGCAAAGGGAGGAGGGTGTCCTTCCCTCTGGGCTCTAAGACACTTGATCATGTCACCCCGGTGAAAGCAGCAATGATTAACCTGAGAGGAGGATACACAGATGTCGGAATTCCAGGCACAGCAGCAGGCTTGTGAAGGGTTTTTTCCGGCCCTCGGACTGAGCGAGGAATATGGACCATCCCTGTTTAGGAGCCATAGCCCACTCCAGACTGGGGAGGGCATGAGGGAACAGAGCGCCCACAGGGGTCAGCAGTCTGGGGTTGGGGGATCACCTGGTGAGGGGTGATGGTTCAGAGGAAGTGGGGGTCCAGTGGAAACTTCTCTCCTGCCCGCCAGCCCCAGGGCAGCGATGAGGTGTGGCTTGGGCACCCCCAGTAATACTGATCCCAGTAATGGCCAGACTTGCCATGGGACCCCAGCCAAGTCCTTCCCTCTCTGGGACTTGGGGACCTTGGGTCTGGAGCATGGGAGGTATTGTGGGTGCTGGGGTGGGGAGGGTGGCCCCAGGAGACTGCACTGGCAGGTGCTGCCTCTCCTGCCTGGTGGGTCTAGAAGGGTCAGATAATAATCCGAGGTGTGTGCAAAGGGCTCCGCATGCCCCATCCCATTTGATCCTCACGGAAGGTCGTGGTATCCCCATTTGGTAGAAAGCCTAGGTTCAGAGAGGGGAGGTCACCTGCCCAAGGTCACCCAGCTGGGGAGTGGTGGAGCCGGATTTCTAGCCAAACCTCTCCAGGATTAGCGAGGCGGGCGGGCAAATCCAGGGCATTGTGCCTAGCAACTGCTCATCTCCTTTTGAAAAATCTTTATATTTTACATATTGTTATGCAAATAAGTGCATGACATCCCTTTTAAAAAAAAAACGTTTCAGTCACGCTGGAAGATACAGAGGATGGTACTCCCAATGCCTACATATTCACCTCCAGAGTTCTCAGGAGCTCTGAAGCTGAAAACAGAAGGGACTGACCACTGGGTTCACCTGTGTTTTACCATTCTTCAGTTAGGGCTGTTTTGGGGCGACTCAAATCTGTCATCAGGAGGGCTGGTGATCTTGTCTGGACAAAGCAATGTAGGAAGACCTGTAGGCGGAGCCTCGTGCCCACTGTCACAAAGCTAGCAGGTGGCCCCAAAGGTTATCTGTTAAGGTTGCAGGTGTGGTTGCAATTAGGAGTCATGAAAACAGGTGA